TACCATGGCCCACATGCGCGCACTCGGTTGACTCGCTCATTTTGGAAGAGGAGAGGCTCTCATCGTGGAAGCTCTCACATGGAAAACAAGAAAAATCTTACACGAAATTCACCTTCATCACAGTGTAACTGTTGGTAACGGGAAAACGTGTATCAATGCAACCTGTTTTTAGCTTTGCCTTATGTTATAGCTCGTTACCGAATCAAACTCAATATATTTAAAACTTTATCGATATGCTAGCTTGATAGTGAGTACTAACAGCCATATTAGTTGTTTATATTCATAATGATAAAGTTAGGTATTTTCTTACATGTGATTCTGACATGATGTCACACTGCGCTCCTCTCCGCTCGGCGCTTGTAAACGCGTCCTCCAGCTCCTATTGAGTTTGATTCGGGTAACGAGCTAGTCAACCGAGCGCGTGCATGTGGTGGTAACCATTGTAGCGAGGGATAGTGACAGTCGCCCAGCCAATCATTTCATTCGTTCCGAATGGAAAGAGTAGCTGTGTTTATTGGAGCCCTGAGAGGACTACAGACACTCGATTTTTATATTCTCCTTTTCAGAGTACTTACATTTTAAATATGTATTATAAAGACAGTTTTGGGAAAAAGTGTTTTAGAAAAAACCTGCCTACCCTGCCTTTTATTTAATACTGAGGTGGAAGGGTCACATTTTATTAGTTGCAATAAATTCACAAACTTATTGTGTTATTTTAATTTGACATTACTCATAACTTAACCGGATATGCAAATGTAGCGCATACAGGTCGATGGTTTGCTTTATTGTGTGTGGCAGTGGACAGCAGGAGTGTGGAGATCCATATATTAACCACTGCAGGTGTAAAAGCCTTTCCTTGTACCCGTTCCAGGAGTGCTTTTACTCCGGTCCACTCTGCACTGGTCTCTCTCTCTGTGGCAGGACATTAGTTTGATGGGGATTGAGTAACTTGCAGCCAGGTCACTACTCTCCGCTTCTCTCATAATACGTCTCTTTAGATCTCTCCAGGTTCAGATATCACTGATATCATACAACTTAAAAATTGATTTTAAATAAATGGCAACATTTATAGACATTTTCAAATAAAATGTTACTAAAAATAAATAGATTTCAATAAATAAAACATGCCAAAATTTAAGACACATTTTAAAGGGATAGTTCACCCATAAATGAATATTCTGTCATTTACTAATAACCCTTATATTGTTCCAAACCTGTATGAGTTTCTTTCTCCTGTTGAACTAAAAACAGAAAAAATTGTGTGTTTGTGTTCACACATTAAGTGCCAAAACCTGTACCAAGTCTCGTACAATTTTGATGAAGTAAAAAAATGCAAAAAAAATAAAAATAAAAAACGTAAACATTTTCGGTCAAAAATGACAGAACAGCACCAGAAAGTTTTAATAAAATTGAATTTGAAATCAATCGTTTTTTTATTGAATTAAACATGAAATTCCATGAGGCCACTGACTTCCACAGTAGGAAAAAAAATACCATTGAAGTCAATGGGTTCAATCAAATGTCTGGTTACCAACATTCTTCAAAATATCTTCTTTTGTGTTCAACAGAAGAAAGAAACTCATACAGGTTTGGAACAACTTGTGGGTGAGTGAATGATGACAACGCGTTCGTTTTTGGGCGAACTATCCCTTTAACCCTCTAGTGCTGATCGTGTGGTGGTCAAAAATGACAGACTAGTTTTATGGGATTTTATGGTTCTAAATTATATTTATGGAATAGTTATGATCCATTTATGGCAAAACATTTACCAAGTGTCGTACCATTCAGATGAAGTAAAAAAAAAAAATAACAACCAGAGGGCTAAATATTGCCTAATTGAATGTTAATAAAAAAAAAAAAAATTAAAATAAATTTGTATTAAAAAAAGATGCAGTTATATATAAGATAAATAAAGTTATATTTTAAGTAAACAAATAACCATATTTATTTCAGAGATAAATGGATGGCACTTTCTGAATTAAACATGCAATTCCATGTGGATGTGTGACAACAATGTAGCGTACTGTTTGAAACAAGTATCACTGCATATTGCATACTTATTCATACATTTTTAAAAATTAGCATGCAGTACGCCATGTAGTATATACTCTGAAGAAAAACAGTATTCAATTCTGCACAAAGCCTTTGAGTAGAGAAAACCGGTGTCCTTTTTATTTGGAAGCTGCAGCCCATTAGCAGTAGTTTTGTTGTGTGGGAGTGGTTCATTTGGCCTGTAATTGAATTATTCTCTACTTTGATTGGCTTGACAGACTTATTCAGCATATCCTGTTTAAAATCACTCATACTTCCTACGCCTAAATTTAATGGACTGGGAGGGCACGCCGAAAAATAATGACAGTATTTTACTGTCATGACAGAGTCTCTTCCAAAAGTTACAAAAAGAATTGTCTGATTCATGAATGAATCCTTCTTTTGAGTCAGATATCTGCAATGAATCATTGATCCAATTCACAAAATCGTCTAAATGATTCCACATGAATCGGACTGATCTGACTCCCACTGACACAATGGCTTCATTTTTCAAGTGTGAACGCTCTAGTTCACCTTAATTGTAAGTTAATGGAAAAGCCTTATACATGATTAAAAATGACTCCTTTTGAAAGGGTTTGGAACAACAGAAAGAGAGAAATTGCAACATAATATGAAGTTTTTAGTTGAACGATTCCCTAAATTCACAGGAGAGGTGTAATGGTCAGCATGGATTTCTCTGCGAGTCGTTCTTTAAAGCACACTGAGGGAGTATCAACAGCCAGCCTCTCCTCATGCTGACGGTTTTCTCTCTTTCTAAAAGAGTGAGAACGCACTGAAAGAAATCAATGGATTGTGGAAGCACACAGGTACACTGTTAGATGTAAAGAGGTAAACAACTGAGGTAATAATAGAGTCCGGAATCTACGAAATGGTCTTAAAAGCCTCTTCACAAGCTGAGCTTTTAAAGAGCACGGGAGAACCGTACAAACTCTAGAGTTGCCATTTTAGGGCCACGGGATAGAAAACCACCATAGATGGATTTTTTCACTCGCCCCCTCATTCTCTCTCTCTCTCTCTCCTACTATATCTTACTTTGCTGATCCTGATGAAGAGGGAACAAGAGGAGGAAGTCTGGAGCCATCACTATGTCCCTATTGCAGCAGAAAAAGGGTCTGCTCGGGTCCTGCCAGTAATTGTGGTCAGGGCACTATGACCTTACTGATGTGTGTATGGAGACTCTCTGAGAGGGAGGCGGGGCACAATATTTATCCCTTATGGGAGGACGAGACACTGCAATCACAGCAGTCGGCCAACAACATCCATCCTCCTCTTGTACCCTTTCAGTACCAGAAAGCCTTGAGTGTCTCTGAGCTACATGGAAAATTACAACAGGCACGGCTAGATCTGTAACACACGAGCGAAACAACTCTTTAATATCAATCTAGAACTAAATGAGATTTGAAATGAAGTCATTTCATGTTGCACATCTCTGGATTTTCATAAGAGATCTCATAATATCTGCTTGAATTTGACAAGATTCCTCCAATCAAAAGTCTGAGATCTGCAGTATGAGCTCAAATATTTCTCATCAGATTTTAAGTTATACTATCCACTTTCACTTTATAGCACTATATGTATGTAAACAATTTTCCATTGACTAAATTGATTCTTACTGTAAATGAAACTGCTTTCCCGAGCAACTTGTGAGCATTCAAATTTCTGCCGGAGCAAAAAAAGGAAAGAAAAATCACTAATTAGATCTTTTTAAACATGTCAATATATCGGTGATATTAAAAAGAGATCAGATGCAGTCATTTGCATGGGCTTCTCAGTAAACTCAATAAAGTTTTAGAAGAGATTTCAAAGTGTTTTAAACTGTGCTCGGATTTGCCAAAGTCTGCAATCAAAACTCCTAAATTGAACTCCTATTTCTCATCAAATTATAGTTCTCTACATTCATTCTTAATGTCAACAATTCCCTATTTGTGTTAATTACATTTTAAGAGAAACATCTGAGAAAAGATTTATGTTTATTGTAAATGTCTATGGAGCAAAAAAAGAGCAACTTCTGAGCACACATCTTTTCTCTCAGACTCTCCTCAATCTCAACTGTTTCTCCTGGACAGCAATAATATTCAATGGAGAGCAAATGCAGACCTTTGCTTGAGTCTCCTGCTTCTTATATTCATTCTGCTGAGAAAAAGAGCCAGTGATCTCACACGTGCCTCCTTCAGAGTTTCAGAAGAGATCTCTAAACGTCTCAAACTGTGCTCAGATTTGCAGATTTTAGTCTGAAATCAAATGTCAAAGATCTCAATATGAACTCAAATATTTCTCATCAAACATTACCAAATGATCTGAGTTATGCTACTCGTATTCTTTTACTGTAACATTTGTGTTTACCAAATTAATTTAGCAGGACATTTTAAAGACGAAATTGATACTCACATCTGAGTTCTCCATTAAGTCTCCTGAGCTGTGAAAGAGCAGCCTCTGAGCAATATCATTTTCTTCACATACCTTTAACTATTGTAACATTTGACTCTATTTTTACTTATTTTATCACGAAAAATCCAAGAAAAAATGTATATCTAATATCTCCGTTGTTTCTTCTAGACAGCAATGAGGTTAAATGAAGACTTTAATTTACTCTTTATACTCTCATTTACTGCGATCTCACATGTGGCTCCTCACAGATCATGGGACCAGTTGCAATGAATCATAACATACATTTTTTTATTTTTTTATTAATCACAACTAACATTTATTTTTCTTGCAGGGTTAACATTTATATGCTGATGAAAACTAAAGATCCCCAGCACTTTGGACAAGGTTAGTGTCGGAGAATTAAAAGAGTAAACAAAACTGTCTAAATATATAACCTCATGACCTAACAACAAGCTGAAGTATCAAGGAATCCAAATGAACAGAGAATTATACATATGAAGAATCATGAAATGATACAATGAATCATATCACCTTTGCCATGCTCCAATTCTATAAAAACTATACTTGGGTAAATGGCACAATCCTTGCCCTTTGTGCATACATGAGTCATGAGTTGTTTAGCCACATGAGCTCAAAGTTCATGGTCACTTCCGATCTATCCGTGTCCACCTGCAGCTCGTGAGTCTGGCTACAGTCACTTCTGCAAGTGTCACAGAGGTGTCTGGTGACCATTTCTCTCTCTCATCTCACACTCAACTAATGGACCGCTTTGCCCCTCCCCTCCTTTTCTCCATCTCGGACTGGGAGGTAGTGAGAGGAGGAGAGGAGGCAACAGCCCACCGTTCCCCAGGGCCCCTCTACACGGCTCAATAGCTCAGCTCCTGGATGGGATCATAACCCTGAGTGCTGGCCAAGAGAAGAGCCGCTTCTCCTCACTGCAGGGTGGAGTTTCCTCCAGGAGAACAAACTCACTCGAACCCCACCATGGCTGAGCGTAGGGTGGTCCCGATTGTGGTTTTGCTTCTTGTCCTGGTTGCACCAGCCCTGAGCGGATGCCCAGGCGCCTGTCGCTGTTCCTTTGCCATGCTGCAATGCCTGGAGTTGGACGGGATCACCAGCATCCCGGCGTTGGCGCCACAGGAGAGTGAAAACGTCACTGAAATGTAAGTTGCGTTTGGTGTATGAATCTGTTCGATGAGAGCTGCTTGGTAAAAGTTGCTGAGACTTCCGAGGAAGTTCAGTGCGGTGCTCGATCTTGCAAGGAGATGGAACAGGTGGCGAGTTCAATCGAAGTGACTGGCCTTCATGAATTTTCATGGAGAAATCTGGGCATTTGGATGTATAGTTTGTGCATGCGTTCCCTGGTTTAACCTAGAGGGTTTTTTTTTCTGGCAGGCCAATCTAATTGTCAGACCTGCATTTATTGCTTTATAGTACATTTCATTTAATTTGTGGAATCACTGAAAGCAGATTTCCCCAAAACAAGGAAATCCTTGGAAACTAATCAAGGGCTGGAGGGAAAGTGGCCTGGTACTTTGTGCTGCTGAGCTTCTCTTTAAGTGCCTTTAAGAGTGTCAGGTACATAATCTATTCTCGGAAATGGTGAGAAAAACATCTCAATGTTCATGTGTGTGCAGTCAGACAGATGTTACCCAGAGGTGCAGGTGTTTTAACAGTGATACCAAGCCTTGCCGAATGTTGCACTTCATTCAGAATAGTGTTTATATGATTATGGCTCTTATGCTTTATTGTAGGATAATCACCACACCTCTTACAATCTTTATCTCACTATGTTTCATGCATTCTCTCGTTCTCCTCCCTTCAGTGTAAATAATGCAATTTTGAATGGAAAGAAATGCTAGATTTATTATTATCTAAAAAGCCAATGTACCTTTACACTACTTTTACAATACTATATGATTCACCTCAGAATCTGGGGTCAATAACAATATCCACCTCATCTCTACATTTCTTTTTTTTTAAGTAATGCTACATTAATTATGTCAATTGGAGCGTTTAATGCAGTCAGTGTTTCTCGCATTATAGTGGTATTTAGATGTGTGTTACCTTGATAGTGTTTGTTTGGGTCACAATGTGCACTTCCCATATCTGTGTATCACTCACAGATCCTGGAGATTTTTTCTTTTTTTTTTAAGAACTGTACACCATCATGTGCCTTTCCATTTCACCACCTGTATCATTATGCTCAAGAGGTGTTTTTAGAGATCATGTGTTCAGGATCTGGTTCACTTGGTGCTCTGGAAGAGATGACAAAAAAACAACATAGTAAGCAGGGAACGTAAAGGGAACCTGGATTCAAATCCCAATCTAATATCATGTTTTAATAAATCAAGCTTAAATTTAAGCTCCATGCGATTTCATTATACAGAAAAGAGCAACTTTGACATTTTGATAACTCCTGTTTCCTGTGTAGAATGCAATATGAGATTCAAGCAACATGAGAATGAATAGATGACAAAAAAAGTCAACTCAAATGACCCCATTTTCAAATGAAAATGGCTGATTTCTGCTATTTCTTGTAGACAACCTACCAAATTATAAGAGATTTTATTCTTGGAAGTTGCACTGGAAACAGCTTAGGTCAAAATTGATCAATCAGTGCTTCATTCAATAATTAGGCTAATTCAATAATATATACATAGAGCAGCTAATAAGTGTAAAGTATATGTAATCGAACAATGTCTGACGTCATCAGTGTATTTTTATGGTGAAGTTCTGCACGGCTGCCATTGTTGTTCGTCTCAGTACACCTGCTCAAGTGTGATTCTCTGAACTCCAGCAGAGTCTCTACATTTACTACAAGCATTCAATCAATAAATGAGAATGCTCTTTCGCCACGTGTTTACACAGAACACTTTGTGCCCGTAAAAAAAGCAGCATTTCGCTGTATTAGTGAGACGGGCACAGTACAGAGGAACAGCACTTCTACCAGGGAGGAAAACAAGAGACCATTAACTTCATACCAGCGGGAGAAATACATCATTCATCATGCTGTAAATTCCATTCTGCGAATTGCTTGCAAATGCCCCGCTGAAAACAATAGATGAAATATTGCCCACTCGACTCGATTCAATAAGCCAAAGCAGTTTGAGATGTCGTCCCACCTGCTCTGTAATTGCATTATGGCTCTCTGGGTCAATCAGACGCTAATAAATATCTGTTTGTGCTTCTTGAACACAACTGGACCGAATCACAGATCAAAAGATTCCAGTGAAGTCAGAAGAAATGTCTTTAGTTATCAGCATCTATATTTGAAAAGATTTTTTATGTAAAAGTAAGAGAGGATATAAGGCAGGCTCATTATTATCAGCATGACTCTGTTCAGTGCCTCACTATACAATAAAACACTGTTTATATTATATCCCACCTCTTTAAAGCTGTAATTTAAAAAAAAAAGAAACATATTTCAGGGCCATATTTCAGCACAGTGAATGCAATAATTTGCACCTACTTGATTGTGTATTGATGAAAGAAGCACTACAGAAATCAGGGAATGCATTATATGGAATTGAATTTTATATGTACTTAAACATCATATGAGTTTGTCAAGATGGTTTATAAAATATTTCTGATATTAGTTCTGTGTTTTTTTGTGGCTTTTGCCAATGTCAAGTGCTGCTGCCATGCATGGGATGAAGTTGTCTAGATGATTAGAGACTAAAAACATGGCAACACCATGGTACTTTCTGTTAGTGGATATTTTGGTAAAGCTTCCTTTTACAGTCCTGTTACCCATGTACATACTATGTACTTATTATAGTAATTACAATTACTGGGTAATAACTAGGTACTAACCCTGAACCTACAGTACCCCTAAACCTACTTTCTAGGTAAATACACTGTAAGTACACGTAAGTACTGTAAAAGGAAGCGTTACCGATATTTTTAACTATACAGCTTTGTTGCATTGAATTATGGAACAGCTAAGATATGTTTAAGCATACATATATGATGTGTCTCATTTGAAAGGCTACATCCTCTGCATACATGTCTTATTTCAGAATAGTAACCATTATAAAAATGAATTGGGAATGTAGTGCAGCCTTGAAATGAGACACATATAGACTAGCTCTATATAGTTTGATTCAATGAGCCATTATGAAAACTTTTTCTCAAAAAGAATCTGAGTTCTCATTCCTGGAAGTACAAGTACTGTTCAGTAAAACTGCTTGTGTGGAAATGAAAAAGTAATCGATTTCAAAATACTTCACTGATGGTGTTTATGCACCATAATAATGGCTGCAAGGGCACAACAATATTTAATATAGACTCACTCACAGAGACCTGGAATCACAAAACTCAGGAGTCTTAGAGTGGAGATGGAACAAGTTTACTCATGTACTCAGGTGAACATGAATGAATTTAAATATTTGTACAAGAAAATATTAAGAACAAATGTCATTATGTGGCTGCATTTCCATGTTTCGTATTTCAACAAAGCAAGATCATTATATGAAAAACTATTTTATTTCAATATATTCCTGATTTAAACAGGATATTCAATGAAAAATAATGTAGGATTGGGAATAGATGAGATCATGAAAAGGGGGCGTTACATACCAGATTGGAGTCAGGTGGATGGAGGGGAAGGGTTGAAAGTTGAAGATGGATTTGTGGCATAATCTGAAAAGGAAAGTCGTTTTAGAGAGGAAGTTGTTGCATTTGATCATGCAAACAAAATCAGAAATAATGTGTACCAATGAAATATTTCAGAAACATACAGTAAACAGTTTCAGATTTGAAATAATGACATTGAGCATAAATATTAGAACATTATTTTAGTTGAATTTCAACCTGTTCTTTCATTTCAACTCTCTAGCTACATAGAGAATCAAGCAAACCTGGAGAACATCACAGACATAGACCTCGCCAACTACAGAGAACTGAAGAACCTGTAAGTATTTAAGACTACAGAAGATGTACAAGATTGAATAAAGATTAAAGATCATTTATACAATACTGTCTGTATCATTTTTTAAAAATGTTTTACAAAGAAGTCTCGCGTGCAGACCAATGCTGCATTCATTTGATCAAAAATGCAGTAAGAAATGTAATATTGTGGAATATTACAGTTTATAATAACAGTTTTTTTTTAAATATTTGAATATATTTTAAATACAATGTATTCCTGTTATGTCAAAGCTGAATTTTCAGCATCATGACTCCAGTCTTGAGTGTCACATGATCCTTCAGAAATCATTCTAATATGCTGATTAGCTGCACAAGAAACATTTCTTATTATTATCAATGTTGAAAACAGTTTTTGCTGCTTCATATTTTTGTGGAAACTGTGAGAACAGCATTTTTTGAACATTGTAAAAGTCTTTACGGTCACTTTTGACAGTAAATGATACATTTATTTCCAATGAATAATTTACACTGACAACAAAAATTTGAACGGTATTCAAACTTCTCATATTCAAAAAGGGAATTATCTGGCTGACTTGTGTATATTTTTCAGGACGGTCACAGATTGTGGGATGGTGTACATCTCTGAAAATGCCTTTCAGCATAATTTCAAGCTGCAGTATGTGTGAGTGTTCTTTACATATACGACTGGCTTTCCCACAATACACTTGGGTCTCAGGGCTTGTACCTGTCAATCACTTCAAATCCTCTTCCCTTCTGATGAGTGAAGCTGCTTTATTGGTCTCAGGCGGTAAAAACCCAAGACACATTTAAAGTTAGTTAGCAACTGAATGACTATTAGGGAAAACATTTTTACCTTTCACTTCCAGAAATCATTTTATTGCATTCATTTCCCCTAATTAAAAAGGAAATTTGCAGAGACTTGTTGTTCATGATCATCATGTCATCAAGGGCGTAAGAACAATCTGAAAATTGTGATGCAGGAAACATTACAAAATCAGCTTGGCTCTTGAATATTAATTGAGTGACATGACATCCAGTTGTTCTAATTATGTCATTATTTATTCATTTTCATGTCGTTCCAAACCTGTATGCTGTTTCTTTTCTGGAATTTTAGGAGACTTAAAAGGATAGTTGAAGGTAGCCATTTACTTCCATAGAATTTTTTTCTGCCATACTATGGAAGTCAATGGCAATCTTTAAAACGTTTTGAATTTAGTGTCCATGTGGAATTTATGTATTTAGCTTGATCTTTAATCACCATGAATTATCACTAGATGGAAAAGAAGTTTAAAAACAGCAGAAAAATCTCAAAATATAATGATAATTTCCCAAAAAACTGGGGGGACAATAATGTTTTTTTATGCCCTTGAACTCATCCAAATCATGTATGCAACAAATCAAACTTCACATATATCAAGAAACCTTATAGAACCTCCACAACAAGAAATGTTAATAGAATAAAACAGATATATAGTAACTCATTACCTAAAAATAGAAGCATAACTTTTTTTAATCATGCATTTTAGGGCTATAAGCCAACGTCTATGCCCTCCTGAAGGGAAGATTTCTAATCACAGCATCAACAAAACACTAATGATATTAGCTGAAACTGAAAGGTTGTTGACCCTTATCTCCACTATCTTGTAATCGTTATCTTCCAGTGTGTGCGACATGCCCACTGTTGTTGATGTGGGGGAAAGCGGTCACACAGGAGGGGGGGGAACGGAGGGGGGTTCTAGGGAAACATGAGAGCATATCCAGCAGTCACCTTTTACTCGCCCACTTTGGCGTATTATTGACAACTGATGCATAATAAATACACTCCACTAAGGGTCCATTATCACGCAATCAATATTTCACAGAGGGCTGTGCGGAGGACCAGATGTGTCTGTAAGCTTCAAGTGGCGGTGGGGATGTACAGTATGAAAAATCATAAGTATAAACGAGCCTATCTTTTATACGCCTGATCCATCCTTTGCTTCGGTTCTTTAAATCCACGTCCCCCCCTCCCTCCCTTCGACGCCAGTATGAAACGGCAGCTGCTATTCTCAGACGCTCTCTCCCTACGGTAGAATCGAGCTGTAATAGATAGGCCCCGATGGCCGACCCATCTGACATGAACTTTTGGGAGTAGGGAAAACAAATATTTGAACCCTTGCTGGCCCCCATTAGCCCTGCCACAGAGAATCTATATCTGCCAAGCCGTTATTGTCCCCATCGTTTGTCATCTCTCTTTATTTAGCTTTAGATTTCAGTTTCCTTCTCCTCCAGAGGTGAAGGAAACTGAAATTAAACAAGACGACAAATATCTCTGAAACAAAAAACGATTGCAAAAAAATTCATCAAACTATGTCTGTGGCCAACACACAGGCCTTCAAAATTCCTTCCCTCACACTTGTCAAACCTGTTTTCTCTGTGTGAAAGAGAGAAAATCACTCAACTAATTAAACTTGAGTCCAGTTGTCAGCCAATACAGAGAGATGCGTGCCAGTGTTATTTAGAAATGCAGTGCTACTATGAAATATTTTGCTGCATTGAATCTTGTTAGTGGCATTAGCTACTGCGCATACTTCACGATTTGAACAAGCCCTTAAGCTTAAGTAGGCCTAGACGGACGCTTTTAACCGATTCACGTCTTTTGCAGCGTCTCACTCGTGATACAGCATTCTATAACATGGGGCTCAAGTTTAAAAAAAAAACTCTTGACCTTACCGTTTTTTTTCTTTTTCGTTTGACTAGCCTGTGTCTTTCATTTTTGCTGTTAAAAAACGCAGGTTAGTGAAGAATAAAAAAACCCTCAAGGTCAAGAGTTTTTTTTTATATATACTTGAGCCATGTTATAGAACGCTGTATCATGCGTGAGACGCTGCAAAAGTCGTGAATCGGTTAAAAACGTCCGTCTAGTCCGTGTTTACATAAAACAATGTTTCAAAACAATGGAAACGGGTTTTTTTTGTGGCTAAAAACGCGAGACTCAGGTTAGTGAAGTGAAAACCTTCCCCTCAAGGTCTAAAGACGCGTGAGCAACGGTCAAACACATACGTCTAGTTTACATTGAAAATCTATGGAAAAGTATCACAGTGGAATGGAAAAATGCATTCTATGTGAACTGGCCCTTAGTCTTTAGAACATAACACATCCTGTATGTTTGTGCTAATAATTTGATGGTACCTCAAATTGTGGCACCTTTACTTTTTCCAAGTGAATGTCGACGAAAGATTTCCACCTGGAAAACAATACAGCTGGCCAAAAATCCCACTCACATTAAAGGGTTTATTGGAGCCATATCTAGATACAGGCAGTGTTATTTTAGTATTATTTGTATGCTATTATAGTATTTATTAATATTTTGAATTAGCTTCCATTTAACAAACATCTAGTTGTGTGATAAAATTCCTCCAAACAGGTTAAACTCTCGTTTCTGAGCCGCCTACACATCATTTTTTGAAAGAGAATGACTCCTATTTATTAAGAGTCTATTTAACTATTGTACAACAGAGCCGATAGCATCTCTCTTTTGCATGTAGTTCACATCTTCTCTTCTTTTACAGAAACCTGGCCTCTAATTTACTAATGTACATCAGTTGGAGGGTGTTCCATTCGGTCCCTCTGTTGAGTCTGTGAGTAACAAACTCCACTCATATACTGGCAAGGCTGAGATTTACAGATTTACTCTGCTGGCGATTTGAGACTGTTTTAAACAATTTACCTCAGTCTGAAAAACTGAAATAATAGATTTGAGGTCCTCTGTATGTATTATTTTGCCTGAAAGCATGAAGCATGACAAATCGGTTCTTTTTTTGCACAGAATTCTGAGGGACAATCCACTCACCTGCTCATGTGACATTTACTGGCTTCAGCAATGGCATAGAAAAAGACAAAGCGATATTGATTCTCAACAAAACTGCATCTACAATGGCAACAGCATTCAGCTGGATTCGTTTGAAATGGACAATTGTAGTAAGTGCACCTATCTGGAATGAAACATATTTTAAGATCAAACGTGTAATTTGACTTCTATCCCAATTAAATATGCAGAGACAATAAGCAAGATTGATTTCCCCAAAAGTGTAAACTGTGACTGTGAGTTTGAAATAAACCATGAAAATACATCACCTTTAAGTTGGTGAAACAAAATTGTCATAATTGTTACTTTACAATTTTACATACACTACTGTTCAAAAGTTTAGGATCCTTATAACTAAAATCGGTGAAATATATAAAAAAATTTCCTGATCTGCAGGTGTTCCTGAAGTCAAAATTGACCCACCGACACTGACCACTCAAGAAGGTGGAAACCTGACCTTTACCTGTCTGGTGACTGGAGTACCAACACCGACTATCCGCTGGAGAACAGAGCACCTTCAGTCCAGCTGGACCCTGCAGGTACATGACACTGCTTTCATACTGCATTCAAGTATTGAAGCATCAATGGAAATTGACCAACGTGATTTACCAAAGTAGTGCATGGATCAAGATTTTTTTGTTGGTACTGGAAGATAAAAAAATATGCAATCATAACCATAATCCTATGATTTATCACTTTCCTTGAAGTATTCCTCATTTGTAAGTCACTTTGGACTAAATGAATACATGTACAGTCAAATTGGTTGAAAGAACTGGTCTTGAAGGTCCTTACCCCTGGTTGGTTGATCACACATTGTTGCAGGACTTCTGAGAGATGTTAGATCTTTGTCAACCCATTAAATCTTGTCTACATTCATCTTTGTCCACAGCAAGGGATCTGGGGATCAACCCTGGAGCTGGTTCTGCACATGAGGAGCGTGTCTTCTGGAGACAACCTGCACAATCTCACCTGTGAGGCGGAGAATCGCGCTGGAATGGATGAAGCCACCGTGCAGCTGGATATTGAATGTAAGTACTGACATTAGTTTTCTCACCTCGTACGCTGCTATTTTTCTGCCAATGACCAAGGAGTTTAGCATAAATGTCTACCAACACATTTTCAAATCTGAATGCGACAACAGATGAGATTCTAATGGAAAATCATTTCTGCATATGAGTAAAAAAATGAAAAAAGGTAACTGTTAGATCAAGTTTAAAATCAGAAAGTCACACTTTGAAATATAAAGTAGCAATTGCAAGATATAAAGTTGCAATTACCATTTTATTTATTGATTTTTACTCCTCCAGGCATCCATAGATTTCTTTAACAGAGCAACATATGTGACTCAAACCCAAAGTTATTATGAAATCTATCTTGCCAAACCGTGTTCAAAGTGTGAAACCCACCATCCTACGTGGACATTTTGTATTATTTATACACTATTTTATCTTTTATTAATATTTTGAATTAGCTTTTATTTTTGTTTTAAGTTTAGTTTAACTTTTATTATGTCTAAAGTTTTTAGTCATTTTTATTTCAGTTTAAATTCATATTATGGAGCCCTGCACATGACATGCGGACAAAAATATAGATATTTATTGTAAGAATACGTTCTTATGTTTTAAGTAAATTGTGCGCGCAATATAATAATTTGTTCCCTTGATTTGCTAAATCGTGGCCACGTTGTGCTGATTCGTTCTCTCATTTTGATTTAACTAAAACAAGGTAACAAATTATTATTTCATGCGCACAATTTACTTAAAACAAGGGAACGGATTAGTAAAACGTGCTGATGTATAAGTCGTGGGAGCGATATGTGAATTTGTGGCTAGATATACATATTTTTCTCGCATGTTGTGCGGGCTCCATACTTTTTCATACATCAAGTTAAACTAAAAGAAGTTGGGAAATGTTGCTTTGGCAGCTAGCTTAAATAAAATAAGTTTAATATTTTAAATTATATTTTATTTCAGTAAGATTAGTTTATGTTTTTCACATAATATTTATCGTTCTTACCTTTATTTCAATTTATAATGCAAGTGTTTTTAATAATTTAGTTAACGGTGATAACCCTGCTCTCGACAGAAGCAACAGCATTGCAACGGCCGGAATTTTCCATCGAAAATCTTCACATATGACGCACTCCACACCACAGCAATTATCACTGTTTATCACCTCCTCTTTAGAAAGAAGAAAAACAGTGCTTGACTTCAGACAAATGTATCGCCATCAGGGGAGCGATAATGACTGTCAGGAAAATGGGATGATAACTGTCTTCGGATCTTGTTTGTTCTCTACTAATGGATTTCTCTCCCCCATAGTCCGGAAATATAATTGTGAGGACCGATTGGCAGATAGCAAGTGTGCTAGTTGCCAGTCCATCAGAATCACGTGACTGGTCGGCCGCTGCTTAATTAGCTCTTAAATTAGCAGGCCGGTTATGGCCACAGGTGCTGCCACGGCATAATTCTGACCCGAAACATCTTTTATTAAACCCAGACGCCAATCGATAATATAATTCCCTAGTGTTAGTCATGCCTTAGTGTACTGTATTGTTCTAACTGATGATGAAATTCACCTTTCGCCATTTACCTTTACCGCAACCCAATTAATGGATTCAATCATTTGATTCCTTTTGATTACCACAATTAGTGGAGTTCAAAAATGGCTCTCGAACTTGCTCAACCGTTAACATCGGGCCGGTGTAACGAGGACGGTTTTTCAAGCGTGAACTCTAGGCCATGACACAAATGACTGTGATTCTCCGTGCGAAGCACTTTCTGGAGGCAGGGTCACGGGTTAAGAGCACTGAAATGGTTATGAAGCAGCGACCGGGCTGTGCGCATCAGCATGTTCTCCCGGCTAAAAGAACCATTTCCTGTATCCCACCTTCACCGGGCTCTCAAGTGCCTCTTGTGGTTAGGTCCCCTAAACAGACAGAGATTTATTATTTATAACAGGTCAACAGGTTTACTGTAAAGATTGAGCACATTGATTCATGAAAAAAAAAAAAAAAAAAAAATTATGATGGATGCTCCAGTCATTTGAGCTATTCTGAAGAACAGGTACTAGTTATGGAAAGCGTTATTCATACAGGAACATTATGTGGAACTTCTTTAACAGACTTCTTTACAGCAATGGTTTGCGGCAGTTAGCGAATTCAACTTTATGCAAATGAGCAGTGATGCAACGCAATGACTACCAATAGGAATACATACAGTAATCTGCTGCCTGATAGTTGGGACACAGAAGCTGAATAAGAGCGGAGACTAGAAACCAACAGCTCAGAGACACACACACACACACACACACACACACATAATGGATAAAACTTAATTATTTCACTATTTTAAATTCTTATTATAATTATTTATTATTATTTAATAACAATAGTAGTACATTTTATTATCGAAGTCTGCTTTAAAAAATATATACTTTTTAAATAAGTAATAAGTTCTCATAAGAATACAGTAGTAAATAGAGATTAGACAGCTAGATGCATGCAAAAAGTCTGTTGTACTTAAAAAAGGTATTTAACATTTTATGCACAAGTGCTATCAGTGACAAAAACACTAAATGAACACATGTACACATCACAAAAAATAAAAATAAAATTTCTTTTTGAAATCTACTTTGAAAAAAAAAGTACTCATAACAGAGTAGGGACCTCTGGGAAGCTGATTAGGTAAAGTGTGTACTTTAAAAATAATAATTTTATCCTCAAAAGCACACACAACTCTGACTTGCATTCTTAAAGGGAAATTGCACCCCTTTACATTAGCCCAAGATGATATCAAAAGTAATCTAAGTCTCAAAATAGGAAGAAACAATTAAATATCCAATATCGGCCGATATTGTGCATCCCTAATGGACTGTGATTATGTCTCACTGCACACGTGTGAACTCATTCCCCGTCTGTGTTTAGTTCCAGTGCGGATCTTGTTTCTGAAGGACCCAGAACCACAGCATCACTGGTGTATCCCGTTTGCTGTGGACAGCAATCCTCCCGCCACCATCAAATGGCTGTACAACAACACACCTCTCATCGAAACCCGCTACACCTACACCGAACTGATCAGAGACGCGGCCGATGGCTCCGTTCAACACGGGTGTCTGTTCCTCAACAAGCCAACCCATCTGAACAACGGCAACTACACACTCATCGTGGAGAATAAACTGGGTAGGGACCAGGCTACAGCAAAGGGGATGTTCATGGTAAATCCTTTCGACCCCTTTGACCCAGAGGGCATCATTCCAGGTGAGTGCACATCATCACACAACATGTTATTGCATCCGCTTTGTGGTGCATTGAGTAATTTATTGTTATAATTTCTCTCCACATGCCAGTCCTCCCTGATGACCCAAGTAAGTTTCTCTAAATCAGCTTCCCGTAGGTCAACGCCCCGTTGTCGTTTTCCTGTACAAATACCTAAACATTCCTAAATAACAGATACATATAGTTGAGAAGCAAAATTACAGAAGATATTAAGTCTTGCTCTATGGAAAATGTATCAAAATGAAGTGACTTTTTACTCAAAACAAGAAAAAATATCTGCCATGGAGTAAAAAAACAACAAAAAACAATTCAAAGCAAAAACAAGATTTTTCTTACTTAATTTTGATAGATTTAATATTTAATATCTTAAATGATATATTTGACCTATTATGCTTTTTCACATTTTAAACTTTCTCTATATCAGTTTCTGAACTCCCTAAAACGCCTTGATTTTAGCCTTGAGTTTACTTCCGGGAACAAACATGCCACAATATTCCTCATTTAAATAATTCCCGTCCAATGCATACACAAAATAAAGGGGTGAGGCCTGGTTGAGTTGAGTTAGTAGTGTGTTAAAAAACTCACTGTTACGGTAAGCCAATCACAACACACTGGTCAAGCCGACTAATCAGAGCGCACTGCACTTTTAGGAAGGAGGGGCTTCATAGAGACTGGAACTAAAGAGAGCGTTACTGACAGACTGGGAATAGAGGACCTGCAACAAAGGAGAATATGTGCAAAATAAAAAAAAATAAAAAAAAATAAAAAAAAATCAAGACGTTGTATAAGGGCATAATATGTATGCTTCAATACTTAATAATATGTATCTTGATTTAAAAATGTTTAGATATTTGTACTGGAAAACAAGAAAAAATGTTTGTTTTTTTGGCAGTGTTGATAAAGTAACATTTCATTAAATGTTTTAACCTCAGCAGTTCCCACCAACCAATCAACGGAGACGGAGAAACTGGAGACCAGAGTGTTTGGGGTACGAGTCACATATGTTATTTTTTACATTCTTGAATAAGTGTTATCGCTCTAATTTTGTCCATTTGCACATTCATAGGTGTCAGTAGCGGTGGGTCTCGCTGTGTTTGCCTGCACATTTCTTCTCATCATGGTGGTTGTCATCAATAAATGTGGACAGCACTCCAAGTTCGGCATCCACCGTAAGTTCTTCTTAGTCAACATGAAATCAAATCCGCCCATATTTACTTCATGCACATTAATTGTGCAAGTTATTCCATATTAACAAACATTTTGCTTCCTAAACCTTGCTCTGAAACAACTTTCCTTTTCAAATCCCTTTTGCTGTTCAACCACTGAAGTTTTCATTTTAGCATGTAACGCCCATTTTTCACAATCAAATTAATTCTCGAAGGGATACCATTAAGCCTCACCCTGCATTCTCATTCAAATATCCTGTTTTGCTCGAAAATTTGTTGTAATTAACATTTCATGGTGACTTTTCATGTATAACCAAAATCCCTTTCAAGGTAAGTCAGTTCACTCGACAGTCATATTTCCAATGCCTCCGGGCAGCTATTTCGGGCATGCAAGACCAACTTGAAAGGGGAAAATTCTTGCCCAACTCACATTTAAATGACATATTTCAAATCAGTAGCAAAATCTATCTCAAATGGAAAGCATAGCTTCTAACAGCAGCTGTAGTGTTACTCCTCTATATTGTACACTGCAGTTTCTCCCATTAGCAATATGAGTGAACCATGTACAGTCTTTGTGAAAAGTCAACATGAAATCAAAACCGGCCACATTTACTTTTTGAATGCATATTGTGCATGTTACTCTTATTTTTGCTTCCTAAACCTTGGTCAGCACTGCTCTGAAACAACTTTCCTGTTCAACTGATGTTATATAAATCCCTTTTACTTTTCAAAATCTTCCCACCAACTATTCAATATGGCATGTAATCAAGCCCCACCCATAATTTTTTCTTATTAAACATCCTATTTTGCTCAAAAGTACGTCAGATTATGGAAGTAAAATGGATTGTGTGATTAATTAACGTTATTTCGATTGTTCATTTTAGTCATTCTACTAACTATAAGTACCTTTGCAACTACTAAATGTCTTTAGAGTATTATCGACTGTCTTCTTAATATCAGCTAACACTTTATTTTGATGGTCCCTCAACAGACATTTACTGACTTTGAAAGTAGGCTACATCAACTTATTCTTCTAACTGTAACCTAAAAGTCTACTAATACTCTAAGAGTTATTTGACATGCAGTTGTCAAAGTTACTTTAGTTAGTAGAATGTCTAGAACATTATTACTTTTTTTTTATTACTGGCTGATGTGATCTAAATACAGTGGCCACTATTTGTATTAATATTTTTTGTATGCTATTAATATGAGTGAAGCCTTCATCTCATTTTATCATTTCATCTGTCAAAAGTGCTACATTAAAAAAAATATATATTTCTTCCAAAATCCAGCTAATGACGCAACAATTTTCACTTGATCAGTAAGCAGTTTAAGCCTCAAACGAAGATGTTTTGAGATCTTTCAAAGGAAAGGGAACTGAAACACATCGCAGAAACAAACCAGGTGTGACTCACGCAACAGCGGAAGAATGTTATCACTAAACAAGAAAGCCGGAGACAGCACAATCACAGAACATGCCAAAATGACTTTCTCCATTATTATTTTGGAATCGGAATGAGTTCCGCACGAGGCATTGTGTTATTTTTAAGTAACACACAAAAAGGGAGCGAAATACGGTCTCTTTTAAGCTGTAACTTTGTACAGTGTCAGCCTAACAGCTCGGCAAAGTGCTGCCAGGTCTTAATTACAGCATGCAAAGTAAATAGCATCGGGAGCCCCAGCCGCGAGCCAGCCATTAAAGAAGAGTGATGGAGCCAGGCTTTTCAGGTCCACTCGCTCCGCTCACAAAGTGCCTAAGTGGACCTGATTGCCTCCCTCCCCTCTCGCCCTCTATTCCCTGCGTTCCTCTTCTCTGCCCAGTCTGGGGTCTCTGCGGTTATAGCTTGAGTGGGTTTTGTGATTTGAAGGAGAGGCCTTTGCATTTAATTCTGCTGCCTAAAACTGAGGTGATTTGCTTCGGATCAAGTAAACATTCTGTTGATGCTTTTTTGTGCATGGAGTAACTTGTCAATTTTAAGCAAGACTACATACTGTACATACAACACGACGTACTGTCAGCTGCTTGAGAAGCACTTTCTGTCCGTGTGTCTACAGGTTCGTCTGTTCTAGGCACTGAGGACGATCTGGCCGTGTCTCTCCGCTTCATGAACTTCGGGGCGAGTCCTCCATCTTCAGATGACAGCACGCTGGATTCTGGCTTGTCCAGTTTTGTAGAAAACCCGCAGTATTTCTGTGGGATCATCAAAGAGAAAGACATGTGTGAGTGTCTCGCAATCCCACGATAGCACACAAGTTTTCAGCATGCTGAATCAATTTGTACTAAATTAAAGTGATTATTTACTTGTATTTTGCAGGTGTACAAAACATTAAAAGAAAAGACATTATTTTGAAGTGGGAACTGGGTGAAGGAGCTTTTGGCAAGGTTTACCTAGCAGAATGTGCCAACCTTTGTCCTGATACTGACAAGATGCTGGTTGCTATCAAGGTATGATCGTGCTTTAGGTTATCATGGCTTCTTTTAGGGTTAGGGTTATTTCATGATATATATACACTTTTTTTTTTTTTTTGCAAAAAAAACTATATTATACAACTCCATGGCAGCTGTATGCATATACACAGATTTGAACAAGAACAATGGCAAGCGATGCAAAACATTACTGATTGGTTAGTAATTTTCAACCAATTCCTCCTCATTCGTCCAAGACTATCACAAGTTTTCACAATGTATGTTAACAAGTTAGATAACTAGCTAGAAACATGAATGTTTGCAAAGCAAAGGTGTTATTGATAAACTATTTTAAAACATTTTTGTTTTAACAAAACAAAATATCAATAAATAATACTAAAATAATACTGTTGCAAACCATGAAACCAGAGTTGAGCTCCATTTGAATTTAAGTAGCAAACTGGATGAAGAATTGGAATTTGAATGTCAGGAAGTAGCATTAAAACTTAAAAATTACAAATGCAATTTTCATTAAAAAAAATCATTTCCCAGAATGCATTACCTTTGTTGCTTTTATTGAAAGTATTCAGATACTTTTTCGGAGCACCGTATGTTCACATCTGATTGTCTTCATGTGTAGACCTTGAAAGTTGCCAGCGAGTCCACCCGACAGGACTTCCAGCGCGAGGCCGAGCTGCTCACGGTGCTACAGCATGAACACATAGTGCGCTTCTACGGTGTGTGTACAGACGGAGAACCTCTCGCCATGGTGTTTGAGTACATGCGACACGGAGACCTCAACCGCTTTCTAAGGTCAGTCTAATAACCACCAGCCACTCACAGCGAATTAACTACAGTGCCAACAATGTGGTGTAGCGGTCAGAAACTGGCCAGCTGAAAGAGTCTTTAGAGACAGAGCTTCTATCCTCATTTGCTGTCTTAGGGCAACCTTAAAAACACAAAAACGTGTTTCTTTGGACAGATTTAGCCAAAAGCATCTAGGAAATTACTTGGGAGCAGGGCTTGACATTAACCTTTTTGCTCACCAGCCACTGTGGCTTGTGGTTTTCCGAAGTTACTAGCCACTCTAAGCATTTTCACTGGCCACAATTTTGGCATGGAGAAAAACTGCCATATAGATATTTTTAATATTATCCCATTACTTGCTGTCACTTTAAGACCTGTCGCACGGATCCATTATACTATTACACATCTGTTTTCTTTCTCAAATGTTTACATTCATTTAAAAAAATGACTGACTGTGTTTACTCACATTTCTTTTACATTATTATGTATGTGTTTGATTTTTTAAGTGCAATAAGCAGCGAAAAAGCTCGGCTTTATGTATGCACACTTTGGGCGAGAGCACAAAATCTGCGGGAATGAGTAAATTATGCGAAGTTCAAGCCCTGTAACACCAACCATATTCATCTGGATTAAAATAAAATGAGTGAGTGAAATGAGGCGGGTTTGTGTGTTAACTCACTGTCGGAGAGACGAGAGAGAGAGAAAGCTCAGCTGGTAACTGAAAGGTGTTGGGGAACCAAAAATGGTTCTTCTATGGCATCACAGCGATTACAGCCTTGTAATCTCTCTCTCGTCTCTCCAACAGTGAGTTAACACACAAACCCGCCTCAATTCACTCACTCGCTTTATTTGAATCCAGATGAATATTGTTGGTTACATCAATTCTGCGGAAAATGAGTATTGGAAGTGTTTCATATTTTTCAGTATCGATACGTATCAAAAAATCTGTTTTTTTGACAACACTACATTGCACTTAATCAATTATTTCAGATGTCCTTTTAAAGGGTTCCAATTGAAAAAAAATTTATACAGTATTTTTATATAATTCAACCCATCAAAGTGGCTAGTAGGACCACTGCTGAAATACACCCGCATTTGGAGTGTGTTAATGTCAGGCCCTGCTTGGGAAAAATAGGACGCAAGCTGCACTCGACCCAAGAAAGTTTAGTATACCCTCTCAAGAGTTAACAGTTAATAATCTGGCATGCTAGTCAAGTCTCTGCATTTTGTTTTGGGCTTTCATGTTACATGAAAAGTTACATCAAATTCAAGGCCTTTCATTTACCATATCTACATCTACTGAGACTCAATGCCCAAACTGAGTTGAAGAGCGATGGAGCCCAAATGCGGACCCAGCTTTGTGATGCTCCAGTCTTAATTAAGATGTAAAGTTCACTGAAGTATGAGGAGGCTGATGGGGGACTGACTGACCATATGTCCAGCACAGCTGAGTCTCGGTGCGTAAAGATCCAGTCTGTTTGCCAGGTGGTTGCTGGGGCCAGATTGGGAGTGGGGACAAGTGAATGTTTGAGGGGGAGATGGAAATCGCATTTTCACGTGCATGGAAGTGGCTCCAGTCTCGGTTGCAGCTGCCCCATCCTGCCACCTGCCTGCTAACTAATAGGGATTACATACTAAACATCAGAGCAGAAAAGAAGGCAAGCGAGTGGCAGAGAGTTTGCATGCGGATATTAGGATGAATGGAGACAGTGGTTTGCTCATTGAGTCCTGACACGCAAGGCAATGGTGCTTGTGCTCTCATTTAGCAGATGTTTTTTTTTAATCTAATGTAACTTACAGTACACTTACTAGAGTTTGCTCAAAAGCATAACAGTATAATTAAGGCAAACTTGGCGTTATAAACGACTTTTTAACCACTACACCCTTAAAAACAAATGTTCCAAAAGGGTGTTTTCGCTGTGATGCCATAGAAGAACCATTTTTGGTTCCCCAACACCTTTCAGTGAACAGTTCTTCAAAGTTTTTTTTTTATTAGTGTGAAAAATATTTACACTTTAATAACCTTTTTCCACTATAAAAGAACATTTTGTGCACTGGAAAGGTTCCATGCATTTCAAAGGTTCTTCATGGAACCAGAACCATCGATGCCAATAAAGGACCTGCATTTTTCAGTGTAGGATGCTTGTGTTCAGAATGGAATACTACTCTTTTTTTTTTTTAAAGTACCATGTGAAACCAGTGTCATCCAGTTATGTTGTTAATACACAATTTTTTTACTTTTCATTCAATTTTGCTCAAAAATGTCTTGCCTTTAAGCGGTTTGATTAAATAGTGTGCCAAGATTATGGTTGTTGTCACTTCCAGTTAATTTATTATGGTGGAAATAAAGTGCTGCGGGAATGACTCCAAAAACCTGGAAATAAGTTAACATAATTGAACTTCCAGTTCCATCATCCAGAACATTTTTGAATGGATTTTTTGTTAAATGGCTGAAATAAGGTCTGTGGTTAACACAAGTTCAGGATGTTTTCATGTTTTATTCGTTTTTTATTTTTATTTATTTATATGTTTTATGACATAAAATACATCAATAATACCCCACACAATTTTTCTGAAAACTTTTGCATGTTTTGAAAAAGGACACGTTTATAATCACTCTTGCAAACTATTCCAACTCAAACTTTCCAACATGTTGTTTTTAAATAAATATTGAAAGAGTTGTCAATAGCAACCGTGTAGTTAATTGATAACCTTTTCACATCTGCCGATTGCATTTTGGCTTCAAAATTCAAAAAGTTGAGCTGATTATCCTGATGAAAAAACAAACTTCTGTTGGTCACAGAGCTTATTTTCTGCTATAATCCAAAAGCCAATTTAAACAATCCTTTAGCTTTTTTGTTGAAGGAACCAGGTTAATGCTATAGGCTCATTCTCAGACGTGACGCCCACAGACCAGTGGCTGATTTTTTAAGTAGTCATCTGATTGGTTGAGACGTGTGTCGCGTTCTTTAATGGTCCGTTCTTTTGCCTTCATGCCAAACCCCCTCATGGAAAAAGAAAGCCGTCGTGTTTACAACTGTGACAATGAGCGTTTATCAGGGTCAACTAAACGCTGGATTTTCAAAAGTCTGTGAAGTATGTAAAGTTCGCGGCGTAGACTAAAATATGTCCAAGATTTTACATTTCACAAAACATGACGCAGAACAAAACAAACTGTGAATGGTTGCGTTACATGTCAGTCAAACATCCTCTTGGGCGGTCCTTGGCCAATGAAAGTGCAGACCGTCTGCATTCAGTCTGAAGGTCTGGCTGTGTGAGACTAGGGTCACGCTAACTTGTCTGGTCTGCAAAAATATGTCATTTTGGCAGCACTCTGTGGAGGATCAAGTAGAGTGCATTGCATTGTGGGATACAGTATTCCACACACACTCTTATAAAGGTTCTTTATTGGCATCTATGATTCCATGAAGAACCATAGATGCACAAAACACATCCATAAACCTTTACATTGCACAAAATTCTTTATAGTGTAAAAAGGTCCTACACACTGAGAACCGCTCACTGAAAGGTTCTTTCTGGAACCAAAAATGGTTCTTCTATGCCATCACTGCGAAAACACCCTTTCGGAGAGTGTGCTTTTGAATGTATACTAAACATCTAGAACAATTTAATAGGGTAATCGATGCATGTAGAAAATTCACATAACATGCACATCCTGCAAAAATAGAACACATCCGAAATCTCTTTTCTCAGATTAATGTTTTGAGGCAGCTGTTGTATAATGTGTGTCGTGTTTGTACAGGGCTCATGGTCCAGATGCTCGTATCTTGGACGAGATGAAGGTTCCTCTGATGGGTCAGCTGACTCTTCCTCAGATGCTCCACATCGCAGCTCAGATCGCCTCAGGCATGGTGTACCTCGCTTCCCTTCATTTCGTCCACAGAGATCTGGCCACCAGGAACTGTTTGGTCGGAGAAGGGCTGGTGGTGAAGATCGGGGACTTCGGGATGTCGAGAGACATTTACAGCACTGATTACTACAGGGTAAAACATTTCATTGCGATATCAATGATGTTACTCCAAAAACTGTAAAAAGTCATTAAAGTGGGAAATATCTACAGTACGTTCATATTGAGATCTCTACCTTTGGTATATGTGCAAATTTGATTACAATTTGAGACAGACATTTGAGACACATTTGAGACTCTAAAGAGATTGTGATTTTGCCTTTTAAGTTTCTGTATATTTACCAACAGCAGAGATGTTTGATTGTAATTTGTTCTCGTTCACGTCCTCAGGTCGGTGGGAGGACGATGTTGCCCATTCGCTGGATGCCGCCAGAAAGCATCATGTACAGGAAGTTCACCACGGAGAGTGACATCTGGAGCTTTGGAGTGGTCCTTTGGGAAATCTTCACCTACGGCAAACAACCGTGGTATCAGCTATCCAACAGTGAGGTACAGTGCCACATTTAATGTCAACCGTTTTTGGCAGCATAATTGTACCCATTTAAATGTCAAACTTATTCGTTGTTGAGCGAGATTTAAAAAGATTTTAAAGGAAAAGTGTACCTAAAAATGACAATTCTGTCATCATTTACCCTCAAGCTGTTCCTGCATATGGATGGAAATCAGAAATGTAACAATTGTGGTTCCGATTGATCTTATTAACGATTCTTTTAGTATTTTTAAGGATAACAATACTATTTTACACATTCAATTAAAGTTACACTACCAAAAATTAATAAGATTGTGTTCAGTAAGAGAGAATTTGATAGTTGTGTGCAATAAGGATGCATTAAATTGACCAAAAGTGACAGTCAAGACCTTCATTTGGCAGTTAATGACTCCTGTAATGTTTACCTGCAATGACAGAAGTGATTTAGGCTGTCTGATGGCATCAGTGCTGGTCAGTGAGCTAAAGCAAACAGACAGAGCCTCTCCCAACCTTCATCGGGATGTGAACATCCATTTTGGACTGGACCAGACTGTGCTCTTAAGCACTTATGAACGAGAAGATCAATAGATTTTTTCGGTTCCAGAGTGATCCAGACCTTTCAGATTAGGCACCAAAAAGTGGACTCTGGTGTGACCACAACTGCACTATTACGCTGGAGAAGCCTCTCTTCTTTCAACAGAGAGGTAGATCACTTTCCCGCCGACTCGATTTTAATCCGATTAAACCTCATCTTCGCCTTGGGCCGACGTTGTTTAACCTTGTTAACCTAATCCTTCCCGAGCCATGATGGACACAGCTAATTATCGGGAGCCTAATTGTACGGGACAGAGACGGATCGTTCGTGACTTTCCATCTGCGAGGAAAGAGGGTGCCAGACTTTCAGAGGGGTCAATGTGAATTTTTGTTAATTTATTGCAGTGATTGAAAGCCCATTTCAGAATGATGTTGTGTGGTGCTGACAGTCTCTTCACCTCATTTGATTAAGAGGCACTGCTATAAGGGCTTGAAGTCACTGGCGTTTTAAATAGCCACCAGGAATAGCCATGGAGGAAAGAAAGCGATTTTACAGCTGCTGCCTGTAGAAAATAGAGTAAAAGGGGTCATAATCATGAGAAATCAAACTTTATTTGATTTCTTTTTATTGAAATACATGTGTACATAATGTACTACGAAAACATACTGTAACTATTAGAACTGAAAAATTCCTCCACACTAAATAAAAGAGCACAAAGCTACAGAAACGGCCCGTTCTGAACATCTGAATACGTACATGACTGCCCATATTTACATGTCAACAATCTCTATTCTTTTTATGAAGATGATGCTTATGTTGGAATTTTAAAGGTAAAGCTGCAAAAAAGGGAAGTTTAATTCAAAAGGTCAGAGAGAAGGTAGAAAATAGTTATAAACTATAAATATTTTTTGTGAAGACTTCTGTAGGTGACCTCAGGAAATAATAAAATAATTAACAATAATTTAAAAATACTACAATAACAATTTTTCATAATTATATATAAATGTATGCTATGAGTGTATGTGTGTGTGCTTTTTAAAGGGGTCATAAAATACATAATAGTAATTTTATATTATAAATCTCTTTTCTCAGGTAATGTAAATATAATAATAATAAATATAAATAATTATTGAATTATAATTGTAATATTTTAGTGATATATATATAATTCGTAATTATTAATAATTACGTTTAAGTGTCTGTTATATGACCCATTTGAAAGCATTACAATATATATAATTATATATTGATTTATAATAATAATAATAATTCAGAAAATAATTACAAATATATAATATATCCAAAATAAAAAATATTTGATCAATTCATGAATGATTTTTGTGCACAATTACTAACATTAAAAAGTGGACCTCAGGAAAAAATAATAATAAATAATAAAACACAATAATAATCAAAAAAATATATGTATAATTAAATAATAATAAAATACGATATAAAAATTAAAACAAATTATATATATACAGTATATATATATTGAAATATTTCATATTTACAATGAAATAATTACAAAAATGGTTAAGATGGTCATAGTGGTATTTTAATCTGCAGGGTATTATTCTTAAATTATTTTATTATATGTATATATATATATATGTATATAATATAGTATATATAATAAAATAATTTAATTTATAATGCATTAATATATTATAGGCATATAATATATTAAAAATATTGAATTACCCTGCAGATTAAAATACCACTATAACCATCTTAACCATTTTTGCAATGATCTCATTGTAAATATGAAATATTTGCCCTCTCTCCAGGCCATTGAGTGCATCACGCAGGGACGAGAGCTTGAACGGCCACGTACCTGCCCAAAGGAAGTGCACCTCCTCATGCAGGGCTGCTGGCAGAGAGAACCCCAGCAGAGGCTCGTCATCAAGGACATCTACAACCGCCTCGTGGCCCTCGTCAAGAGCCCGCCGGTCTACCTGGACATCCTGGAGTAGCAGCACACGGCCCTGCGCGGAGAACACATGCTTCTGACGGCTGCTTGTTTGGGCTGAGGAGGAAAGTCAACGGTGGGTTGAGGACAGACAGAATTCACAAACTGTCTCAGATGTGCAAGAACGTTTCGCGGTGTTTGTTGATGTGCACGTTTAATCCACTAAACGTGTACGACTGTGTCCATGTGTTTAAATTTGAAATGGACTGAGTAAATGGACAGTGGATACTTTGAACGTGCATTAATGGAAATTGCTCATGGATCTTCATGACTCAACCCTGAAGAGACACTAGATTTTCTATATAAGGATACTGTTGTCAAGGTCTTGTAATTAAAGTTCATTAAAGGTGAAGTGTGTCATTTTCAGATTAATATTCAGAGACATTTTAGGCTTATTTCCTCAATAAATGTAAAAAGGGTTGCTCTGTTTATTTGAGCATTCCGCCCAGCCTGACCCAACAACAGTTCCTCAACCAATGGCGTGAGTTTGGGGGAGGGACTTACTGTATTGTCTGGCCAATGGGAGACGGGTAAAGTGAAAACCAGGGCCTGTATTACAGAATTATTCTAACTTGGTAAACAGAATGTTTTAAAATCTTAAGTCAAGAATAAAGATAGGAAGTTTCTGTAATATAACTCCAGGTATTATTTATATGGCACATACATTACATACTTCACCTTTAACCATCATGTGCAGTTTCTAAATAATGTGCCCCCAAAACAAAGACTCTTTAGTTGATTTCCACGTTGTGCCAAGCTGACTGCATTTCTTTTCAATGTCTTGCGATTATGAATATATTACATCAACATGTTATGCGTGATCTTCACATGCATGTATTGTACATCTCTCAATGTTTAACAGCAACTTCCTGTTATGGCTCCAGAGTTCTGCTTTATTTCCTACATCAGAAGCATCAGCAAGGCCAGCAACTACACAACAACAGTGGAAACACACGGGCTGTGTACGGAATGTAGTACTAACATACTGAATACTATTTTTTTAATCGAAACAGTATGTTTTATGGAACTGTCAAATTTTCCAGCAGTAGTTTGTCACATGAATTGCATGCTTTAGGCAAGACACTACAGGTGAATATGGTCATTGTAAACAATAGATATCTAATTCTTTCCCTAGTTTATTAACAACAGTACATTAAGCGGCTGTTTACACGACATCGTTTTCTACTAAAAGCGGAACTTTTTTTATACGTTTTTGCCGTTCATTTACACGACAATGGCGTTTTGGCGGCCTGAAAACGCAAGCCTTTGAAATCGGGTTTTTGAAAATGATACCGTTACAGTCGGTGTAAACTACAAAATCGTGAATTTGTGAAAACGGTGACATCATGTGCACACGTATTACATGTTCATTCTATAGACGTTTAGTGTTTCTTTACACAGTGACATCGCCAACTACTGGCCTGGCAGCAGAAATACAGTTTTTTTAATCATTTTTGTGAATCCGTGTGAACGGGGATTGTTTTGACAATGTTGTCGTCTGTATACTATGGAAGCTTGTTTCCGCCACAGAATGAAAAATAAAAAAGGTAATTGCGACTTTTTATCTCGCAATTCTGACTTTATTTCTCATAATTGCGAGATATAAAGTCAGAATTGCGTGATATACAATCGCAATTGTGTGTTATAAAGTCAGAATTGCGAGATAAAAAGTCAGAATTGATTGATATAAAGTCGCAATTGCCCGTTATAAAGTCAGAATTGCGTGATATAAAGTCGCAATTGCGTGTTGTAAAGTCAGAATTGCGTGAAATAAAGTCACAATTGCGTGTTATAAAGTCAGAATTGTGTGATATAAAGTCAGAATTGATTGATATAAAGTCGCAATTGCGAGATATAAAGTCAGAATTGATTGATATGAAGTCGCAATTGCGTGTTGTAAAGTCAGAATTGTGAGATATAAACTATTCTGAGAGGAAAAAAGAATTGGCCTGATAACTTGCAATTGCGAGTTTATATCTCACATTTCTGAGAAATATTTCAACATTTCGAGATATAAACTCGCAATTGTGAGAAAAAAAATGAAGAATTGTGAGATAAAAAGTCGCAATTCTGTCTTTTTTTCTCACAATTGTGACTTTATTTCTCAGAATTGCGACTTTAAATCTCGCAATTGCGACTTTATTTCTCACAATTCTGACTTAATATCTCGCAATTGCGACTATTTCTTATAATTGCGACTTTATATCTCGCAATTGCGACTTTATTTCTCACAATTCTGACTTCATATCTCGCAATTGTGAGATAAAAAAGGCGCAATTATTATTTATTTATTTTTTATTCAGTGGCGGAAACAAGCTTCCATAGTATACGGAAAAAAAGAAAAGGAAAAACTTTTCAGGTTTTTGTACATTGTCAGGTAAACATACTCAAAGACAATTGTTTTGTATCACCAGTTTTATGAAATGTTATGCTTTCCAAAACAGAAATAAGAACATTTGATAAAGCCATGTTTAAAATTGTTTAATTTTGTTGATTTGAGTTAAAGGTTTTTACAGAAGGGATTTTGGATATCTCTTGAATAACTCAATAAATCCGAAAATACTGTCAACAGTTAGAAAAAAAAAAATCATATAATGAAATTATATGAACAAATCATTTGTAAAAATCATTCAGAATATAGATAGGAATAAAACTGTAAAGTTTGGTGGATGTAGTGCAACTCAAGTGGAGATTGCAGGAGAAAAAGGCTTTTAAAGACATGTATTTGTAATTGAAATCTAAAAATAGATAAAGTATAATAAAAATAAACACTTAAATGAAATCTTTTTACTTATCTAAAGATGTCAAGGTATGAGAGCAAAATAGCCCAAAATCTTAACTGGAAACCCAATCTCACAGGTAAACGTAACTATTTTACAAGGTGGGGATTTTGTATGAATTTGTACGATGTGAAGCATACGAAAATGTATGATTTTCTTCTCCCTTAACCCTACCCATAAACCCAAGCGCCACTGGGGCGTCAGCAGATCATACGAAAACATACGAATGAGATAGTACCAATTCATACGAATTAGCCACCAATTCGCCAAAACATAAAATAGTTACGAATTGCCATGAGGTTGTGTTGAAATTGACCAGAGCTTGGAAAAATACTGGTTTGTCTGTAGTATCTTGCCTTAATATTTTTTTTTATAAGAACTATAACACCTGCTTTCCATGAGCATTTCCATTCATCTCAATGGCTCAGGCAGAGCATGCAGGCCTGGAAGTACACAACATGCATGATGCCATCTTCGCTCATGTGCCGTCAGTTATGACCTTGTATTTTGAGCTGTAATTGCCATGTGACTATAACATCTATCACATGCTGCAGAAACCATAAGAGCAGTATGCTAGTATGCAATTCCAAACACAGCCAGAATTCCAGCATGATAATACTGGTGCAAGGGCATAGATCAATCAATCAATCAATCAAATATTAATTTATCATACAGCATGTTAATCTACAGTGGTCGCTGTTTACATTTTATTATTTTATTAATAGGTGCATCATTTTTACTCACTGGCTGTGCCTCTTGTACATAATCTAGTGACTGAATTACATTCAATACATACTATCATTTTTCTTTTATTGATTTTCTATTTTTATTAAACCTAATCTTACCTAGTGTTTTAAAATATTTCACAAATACAAGTCTATACTTCAATGCCTGGTTATTAAACACCTGGTTTACAGCTGGGAATCAGAATACAGAACATTTTCAAAGGATGAAAGTCAAGATAAATATTCCTTTAACATCAATAACAGTCAGAGAGCATCAGCATCTGACAGACATACTATCATTTGTTTCATTGTACAAATATATATATATAACAATTTGGATAGACTTTGTTTTTGACTTTGTTGATGGACAATGTACAGTAGCTGTATTAAACTTGGTTTTATTCTAATATGTCATAATCTCATTATTTATCTCACATTATTGCTGCATGATGTTCACATTATGCTCTATTTATTCATAAATGCAAATTTAGTCGATACCAGCCATATCAGTCCGCAAACATAGACTTCTATTGTTTTTTATGTAAAACTAATTTTACATTATATGACGGCGACGCTCAGAAATCGGAGGCTACACTGAAAATTTGGGATTCAAAATCTCATTCAGGCCTGGAAATGAACTGAATATATATATTTTTTTATTTTAAAACCAAGAAATGTTATGATGTAAAATGAAGAAATATGTGAGATTCGGCACTATTTCTAGGTTGCTAATTAAATAATCAAATTTGGGTTTTACAATAAGGTTTTATTTGTTAACATTAGTTAATTATATATTAACATAAATTAGCAATTAACAACATTTATTAGTATTAGTCAATGGTAATTTCAACATTTATTAATACGTTTTTAAAATTCAAAGTTGTATTTGAGAACATTTGTTAATGCACTGTGAACTAACATAATGTTTACTAACAAAGACTAATAAATGCTTTAAAAAATCTATTGCTCATTGTTAGTTCATGTTAGCTAGCTAATGCATTAACTTATGTTAACAAATGATACCTTGTTGTAAAAGTGTTACCCAAATTTGTAACATTAATCCTTTGTATAAAAGGTCTGATTTTCTGAACATAATTGAGAGTGCAAATAACATGGCAGAGGTGATGAGATATAAAGAGGATCTTTACAGAAACCAACAGATGGACAGAAGAGATGCTGGAAGAAGGTGACAGATGGAGGTGAAGTTGAAACCTCAGTACTAATGCAGATTACAACACAGATACATCCACGAACATACTGTACCATAGCCTGAAAGAGGCAATGGTTTCATTCAATTAAAATGTATAGCATCTGTAAACATTTGACAACAAATCAGCTATTCACGAATGTGCTGAACAAATATCTGGGTGATTTTGTAAGGAAGTCAAACACTTATCACAGTACATCTGTATGAAGGGGGGAAAACCTAGGCCTATCGCTTCCACACATTTATTTTGCCTCAGCTCAGACTCTAGAGAGCTGTAATGCATTCTGGGTAATGGTATCGCTGCCTCTGCGGTGCCTAAACTCAATTCTCACGGGTCGTGTGTCTGAACCACTATTCCATTTCACCCCTTTTCCAGGCAGTCTGTGTATTCCTGCCTCACTAAAATGACTTGTGACGCACAGTTCAACCAAAAATAAAATTCTGTCACTATTTAGGCCTACTCCCCCTCATATCTAACGTTATTTTCAGAAACAAAGGAGAAATGTTCATACAGATTTTTACACATGTGGACAGTGACAGTTGTCAAGCTTCAAACAGAAAAACCTATTCAATCATAAAAATAAAAAGATCTATACAATATTCTAAGCCTTCTGAAGTCATACGACAGATTTTGTTTACCCGAAACACTGATTTGACCAATCAGCATTCAGGACCGGAACTACAAGCATGTCGATTCTATAATTTGAATTTGACTTTCTCATCAGCCTAATAGACCTTATTCACATCAGCGAATCATTTCGATTTTTAACAGGAATCAGAGCGAGTCTGTGACGGATAGACATGCATTTCTTCACTGGGTTGTTCTGTTATCGAATGTTCGCCGGTTATTCCCGCCTCCTCCTTCCCACAACATCTAACCTTGCTACAATAATTAGGCTAATAGCTACATTATTCATATGGGGTAATAAAAACTATGTAAGTACACAAAAATGTGATTTTTTTTTTAAATTTCTTAATATTGTACTTTTTATAGAGAGTATTGGAAGGCATACCTGTAGGCTACTAAAATCTCTAAAGTGAATTGAGGGTCGTTATCAGGGGACTGATATCCTACTGCAAACATATACTCTATAAAAAATATCGGTTACACAACAGAATTACAAGAATAGAATTGACCCTTCGCTAAGCCACGCCCGAAAACCGCCACTGGCCAATCGTGGCTTAGCAACCGTAACTAGGCGCGGGAGGTCTGTCAAGCTTTCGAGCGAGGGAAACATGCCGACGCGTTGTGCGTATGGATTGTGCAAATCTGATCCCCGGTATTCTAAAAGTTTGGACGGTGGGGTGGCATTTTTTCTCTTCCCGAAACCTAAAAACCAAAGGGGAGAAATCCCTGGCGTGGATCAAGCAGTGTGGAGACCCATTCACAACTAAATGTCGACAGGATTAACAAAAAAACGCCTATTGCTTGGAAATAATGGCGGTTCTTTGTTCATAATGCATATATTTGAACGTAAAATAAGACGATTAAAGGCAAGACGGAGGCTCACTGACATACTTTAAAATATATTTCATTTTTTTTTAATCGACGGCCTATAACGTTACCCCTGTAACTTTACCCCAATCCGATCGCGGCTCTCCCGGTGTTAGATTGATGGATAAACTGTTTGATTTGTAATTATTAGATTATTTTCACATTTCACTTACTCTGCTGTTCATGAACATAGCTGTTCAATTTGTGTGTTTCCCTTTGAATGGTCTGCTAAGGAAGCGGCTGCTGCTTGCGCTGGGACCTAATAGGCTTTAGCTTCAATTTTGATGAAATTATTCTCTAATCGGTTGCATATTATGTCGTGGATATATCCCTCGAATGCTTACTGCAGTCCCTTTTGTCTTACTCTCTCAGATATTTCACATGTTCGCCAAAAATGACTAAATATTTCCTTGGGAATGTCTGACACCGGTGCATTCAGACTGTAATAGACGTGGCAGCCGCGAAAGCTTGACACGCGTAGCAACAGTAACTAAGGAGGGCGGGGCTTAGCGAAAGGTCAATTGGCTCCTACAGTTTGATATCACTGGACAAACACTGTAGTGAACAATGGGTCAGTTTTTAATTCTAAGCACTTTAATATTTTTCACATTTGTTACAAAAATATTTCAAAAATGAACAATGGAAAATAAAAGGCATTGGAATAATGATCGCATATTTTAATTCTCAGATTTAAAGGGAAGCATTATAGTGGAAAAAAACAACAACAAAGAAACAACAACAAAAAAACCAGAACATAATTATCTGGAACAGTTAATTTTATTTTTTTAAATGACTATTTCTAATTTTAATTTCCTTGGCAATTTTAAATGCTACATTGTAACATTAAAAACACAGTTTCCAAAACTGCAATACATTCATTTAGGCCATCAAACACACAGGGATTGGGATGCCAAAACCTTATACGTTTCATTTAACTCTAGTGCACAAAATACTACTGTCACCAGTCACATTCACATCTAAACCTCTTTAAAGCAGAAGAACAGACTCCGTCAGGGCTGGAGCTGAAAAACACACACACACACAGTGAGCGAGAATTTCTGCTGTCCAACTACAAATAGGCATTTGGAGAAATGCAGAACCTTTCCGCCACTAACCACTGAAACACCTACTTTTCCTTTTTAAACCAAGATCCCTTTCATAAACGACCATTAAATATCATTACCACCTTAAGAGCTTGTTAGAAAAGGTTCCGCTAAACTATTGCCTTTCATTAATTGCACTAAATTACAAGCCTGCAGTTCGTACCTGTCCTGCACTGTTCAGTCAGACAAAACAAGTGCAATATTCTACTGAAGGACCAAATGAGAGATGGAGGTTAACAGCTTGGGCAAACACAATGATTAGCTTTGATTTCTGGTTTAAGAACAAAACGTAACTAGTGTTGCATGAGCAAAGAAACTATTTCGAGCTACGTACTACATTGCACCGGAATAAAACAATCGACAAGTGCACTGACAAAATGCAATTAAATATAAACCCAAAAGCCTTGTGCTTCAATATAAAACACTCTGTATTGTATGCCATAAACCTGCAATGAACAAAACAATACCACAGAAATGTGACCTGATGCAGAGAAGGACACATAACCCAAAGTTGTCGAAACATCGAAACGACAGTGACGGACTCCAGTGCGGCCCCATATTCCCATGAGATGCGGTTTAGCAGGAGAATGATGCTTAGATGAGCTAAACAGTACACATTATTATCATTCAAGATATGAAAGTGTAACAATGGAAATATTGTGTTTTTAGACATATAGCCCAACAATGAATTAATGTTACTGTACCTGTGAGACTATTCTAAGGCGTTCCAGTAAATCCAAATAATTAGCCATTGATAATAAGGGATATCACAAACACAAGTATTTAAAGGGGCAAAATTTCACCGACACGCCAGTCATTTTAAAAATGATCTTCATCATCATTTTTGACCATTGTATATTTTTGATATGCACACACATCATAAAATTGGATTAATGATGTTATTCATGATGATATAAAATCCCTGATTAATGCTACTATCATTTTCCACTTAAAGCTATGATAACATTATTATGTAATGATGCAAATGTTTATAAAAACCCTTAAACTATATGTTAAAATATAACATTATCAACTTTAGCGTCATTCAACCCTCAACCTTTCAAGAATAAAATCAAAGGCACAACGGTTAAATAACACCGTGAAAGGTCGCGATTATCATTAGGGTTTTCGGCTGCAATAATAAACCGTAAGTATAAAAGGAAACTAGAATATATGATCTCGAATAGAATAAACGCTTAGCTTTTTAGTCCAAAAGTATCAATTTTATATCAGTGAAAGTGCGCTAGTGAAATCTAGAGTAACATCGTCCAGAAAGGTGCACAGTGAGGTGTGGAGTGGTCAAGAAAGCTTGTTACTCCTGATGAGGGTGGGTGCCACAAGAGGCCGAAGTGCTTTGGTGAGGTGTTCGCGGTAAACCCACGCTAAAGATGCCGATGATGCCCAGGTTGAGCAGGACACCCAGTGCGAGAGCCCCCAAGGTACCTAGGAAGGAAGGTAAAGCGGAGTGGGACATCAGCCACTCTTTGCGAGACGACATGTCCGTCAACACTGCCTCCATCTGGAAGTGGGTGCCCACGACCGCACATATGTGAAAGAGCTGGTGACTGTGACCTTGGAGGAGAGTGAGTGAAAAACTAGTCAAAAGAACCGTGTGACACGGGTGTGAACCTCTATAACCATTAAAAACCAAACAAAGACAAGCGTAAAACCGCTAAAAATGAGGTACCGATGTAGTCGAAGCGTCCGGGGGCCAGTCTCTCGGGCAGGTGAGATGCAAACAGGAAGCATGTGAGAAACGCAAAGAACAGATGGTAAGAGTGGCTGGCCAGAGCTTCACTGGGACTACAGCTCCCCCAACAGCACGACAGCAGCTATAGACACACACGGAAAGAGACCAGAAAAAGAGCATCCATATCTGGTGTTACGCAGGCATGACTTACGTGTCTAATTTACATGTGCAATCAAGTGTGACCATACTTACTCGGTAAAACAGTGGGATACTATCAAAGAGGAAGGGGACAACAAATGCGGCCGTTCTCAAGATTTTACTTATGTGTGGGTACTGCAACTCTACAAACCTGTTACAAAAGACAGAGGAAAATGCACCCTCACTTAAAATGTGTTTATTATAGATAATATATGTTCATAGTTAAATGCTTTTTAGCTTAAAAGTAGCCCTGTGATGAAAATCAAGCTTTTAATGTTGTTTATATGTCTATGTGGTGATTTTAATATGCTTTTTTTTTCTAAAATATGAGTATTTTCTCTTTAAAACTGCAGTGAACCAAAGACAACGAGTGGATCTCTGAGCTGGTGCGAGTGAGTGGAGGCGGGGCTAATTTGCATATTCATAGAACCACGTATGCTAAATGAAGGACAGGTGTAGAGTTATATTTAAGCTATTTTAAGGCATGAAGAATTTTTCTTCAAGGAAAAAACTTTTAAATGTGTCATTTTGGTGATACATTATTGACTACAGGGGGACTTTAAATGAAACAGTATAGTATATTTGAAATAAAACATAATATAAAGTGCTGTCAAATCGAGTAATCGTGATTAATTGTATCTAACATAAAAGTTTGTGTATATGTGTGTGTGTACATATATATTTACAAATGTTAGATGCAATTAATCATGATTTATCGATTTGACAGTACTAAATATAATATAATATTAAACAAGAATAGGCCTATTTACCCAGGTATTTTTTATTTTATGAAGAGGGTGTGAGTGGTTCTTGATCATGCAAAAGTTTCCACCACAATGCAAGGTTATTGTGTGCGGTTGTCAGGGTGTTTTTATATGGTTGCTAGGGTGTTGCTGATGGTTAATGGGTGTTGTTATGTGGTTGATTAATGGTGCAATCCAAAACAAGCCCACCCTGTCTCTAGATATTTAACAAAATAACAAAGAAAAGTGGCAAATGCGATCAAATGATGTTTGAGCCTTTGAATTTCAATGACTTTGAACAAATTTTATTGGATGTATGGATACGTTTAAAATTGTATTTTATCATACTGCATACTACAGTGTTTCTTGTAGATTAAACATTTATATTCATAGTTAAATGCTTTTTAGTTTTAAATATAAATTACTTTTCTGCAAATATGGCTCCCTTTCATCATCCTCCAAAAATAAATCATACATTCGCTCATTTAGAAAAATAAATCGCACACCTCTTCTCAAAAACCTGCACGATTTGAGGTATCAGAGCGTGAAAAGTTATGTGCCAAAGTTTAATATTATATATGAGAGATAGTGGTGCTTAACTAAGCGAAACTAATTAATTCACTGAATTCAACAACCAGTTAAGTTCTTCTGTAAATAATTTATTAAAATGACTGAAAACTTTTGTGCAGCCAGGAACAATGTCAGAACAAACAAAGGTCTGTGTGTGAGAAGGACTTAAGTTACATAATAAACTCCCTATTATTCTGAGTCTGGCTACGATGACATCTGAATCAGCCTTAGTTACCCAGAACCACTCTCACCTGGAGTAGCAGGACATGCTGGTACAAAAGAGCGAGTTGCAGACTGCAATGGTCACAAAATGCTGGTGAAGCCAACTGTTGACCCAGGAGTCGGGCATCACGTAAGAGGAGTATGTGATGGCACAACCTGTAAGAGTATAGCATATTTAAAACACAGACACATGTACGACACAGTATTTATATTTAACAAAAAGACATTAATTAGAAGATGAATGCATGCTTTCATTTGGATATAGTTTTCAGCTTTAAGAACAGAACTCTTGGTTAGTTAACTATGAATCTTGTATAAATAAGATTTGTTAACAGATTGAGATTTAAACAAAGAAACTATACCACACAATAACATTGACATTTTTTTTGTCTCCAAATACAGAAATTTTAAATGTATAGTCTATATATACACATAAAAATTCAGTATTTGGAGACAAAAAAAATGGCAAAGTTATTGTGTTATTTAACAAAATATCAAACAAAAGTGTCATTTGCGATCAAATGATTTAATATTGATTTAATTATTTTTGTGCATGTATGGATATGTTTGAAATAGCATATAAACAAAGTACTTCAATTATTTCTGAAGTATGTAGTATGCATACTACGCACAGTATGTGAATTTTCCCCATATTTACCTGTATAAATTGCCAAACACTATTAAAAAAAATTATGTAAACGAACCGTTATTTCCAAGAAAGCACTGTGATGAGGTTATGTGACAACAACGTAGCATCCTACAGTTTAAAAAGTTTACGGTTGCATACTGCGTAATGTTTCACATACAGTTTTAAGAAAAATAGCATGGCATATACTGCACAAAAAACAATAGTTACAGTATTAAATACCATGTTTTATTGGATTTGTGTCTTTTGTAATGCTTGGCTACTGTGCCAGATCTCTGCTGCTGAACATATACAGCTACTCTGCTTTTCTCAAAGGCGGTAAAAGAGCTCTTTCTCTGCCGCAACTGGAAAACATGACCAGAGGTGGATTCCACAAATGAAAGAATAATATTTTTATTAGACTATGGGACTTTACAATAAAGACTCACTGCTCTACACACAGGATATTGAACAGCTGACCATACCATCATTCAGTACAGATTATTGTGGCCGAAGTCAAATGAATGGAAATACTGCAGAAATATGTTTTTTTTTTTAAACATACTGTAATATAGATTTCCGCTTGAAAGAATAATCAATCTATTATCAAGAAAAGTAGTCGTTAAATGTTTAAAAGGTGCATTTATAAATCACTCGCTCTATGTAAGGTAAAGTGTTCCGAGCCTATTAAAACTGCGCTTATATTTGGCACTAGCTCTTCACGCTTCTGGAGTGCCTCGAACGATATGTGTAGTTTCTCACCCTTCTCTCTTTATCAATGCAGACTTTAAAGGTTTTCTCTGGAGCCAGAGCATTTGCTTTCTTTCCTTTGAAGTCATACAATAAAATGCCAGCAGTGTATTAGACAGCTCATTTCCTCCAAAGCTCATGCTTTCCATAACCTCACATCAACCCTCCAATTCCTTTCTACAGCTGGACATCAGCTTTACATCAGAATTGTGTTTCTTTTTTACTGGCCCAGTATAGGGATTTCTATATTCTGTCAAGGACAGCAGATGACAAGCTGCCATTCTGGCACATTTATCTCACAATGTCAGGCATTTACATTTATGCATTTAGCAGCAACTTACTTTGCATTTAAGATATGTGTTTTATCAGTTCATGCATTCTCTGGAAAAAAAAAAAACCTCAATGACCTTGATGTTGCTAGCACTATGCTCTATTGTTTGAGGTACAGGAATGCAGTGTTGTTATTGTTAACTAAAACTATTAAAAAAACATTTTTGGTTATTGAAATAAAGCTGAAATAGAATATTACATATAAAAAGTTACAAAACCTAAACAATAATTAGAATAATAAGTTAAGTTGAAATGACTAAGTTTAAAGTATTAAAATGACTAAAAATAAATTAAAACTAAATACATATAATTATGGTCACACTTTGGATTAGGGTACAATTCTCATTATTATTAACTAACTATTGACTGTGACTTTTGCCTCAATAAACTCCTAATTAGAGCTTATTAATAGTTAGTAAGGTGGTTGTTAAGTTTAGGTATTGGGTAGGATTACGGGATGTAGAATATGGTCATGCAGAATAAGGCATTAATATGTGCTTTATAAGTACTAATAAACATTTTTGTTAAGAATGTTACAAAAAAAAAAGTACCATAGGTCAAGTCTGACTATGCAAGACTAAATGCAGTCTTATTTACTCACCAATGATGTTTAAATAGAAAAGAGTTGGTAGGAAAGGCCACTATGTTATGATGATAATGTGTCTATCTACCGGCCAATAGGGTGAACAGTACCTAAAGGGCCAGATTTTCTAACAGCTTACAAAACATAGAGGACAGAATCACCCAGGAGAACTTGCGCGTACCGAGACTGTACAGGCTGAGCGCTCCGTAGTCGAAGAAGTAGCAGACGTGACGAGCCTTGGTGGACATGGTGCTGAAGGTATGAGCGCAGCTGGAGGTGAAGGGGTACAGGCAGATCAGAAGCATGTAGACGAGCATCGGCCAGGAGTAGCTCTCCGCCAGGAAGTCCAGCGCAAAGCACAGCATGCTGAACCGCCACAGGAAGTACCTATAATAGCACAGCACAGGTCCTACACAGGGCATTTATGTCTTGTGTGAGGAAAGTAGAGCAGATAAGCTGGTTATCAAAGGGGTCATGACATGAGAAATCAAATTCGACCAAAACACATCTTAATACCAGGTGTAAACAGGGCCTTACTTTATCAAGCTCCAAAAACAGCTTGTTTGGATGTTGGGGGACTTGTGATGTCACACGGGCAAATGCTTTTTTGCATAAGACTGCCTCCAGAGCAAGACATCGACGAATAGTTTGACATCATCGCACCATAGGCCCCGCCCACTGGCGTTCAGTCACTTAATGGCTGACACTTGCCTCCACCAGGTGTGAGCGTCGCGTCAAAAACCAGTCCTTCCAGAAAAACGCGGAGTTTTTTTGTGATTATTGCGGGCAAAAATCCTTGATTATGCGGCCAGTTTTCTTTAAAAATGCGGAATATTTATGCAATTTTATCCAATGAAATTGCGGGAACTTGGAAAAACTGCGGGAACTTGCAAAAACTGCAGTTTGATGAAAAAGAGAAAAAAAAGTGATTCCCCCGACACCCTGTTCTCACTAGGCTACTACCTTAATGTAAAGAGTCATTTCTTATTACTTCCTATGATAAGCAAGCATACTACATCACAGAAAGTGCTGGGAATATTTAATTTCTCATCTTGTTTTATTTCAGACCTTAATAAACACATCAAACTTACAAAACATTGATGAGTCAAACAAGTTCTGTAGCTTTACAAAAGGAATATGCTACAACTTCTGTAAAAATGAATAAATGAAATATAAAAATAAAGTGTGCTCCCGTTTTACAGCTTTTCGATGATGTTCACGTCGCGTAATTACGTCACTTCATAACGTTCCCATGGCAACAGGGGGAAATGGCTGCACTTGTGTGAAGCAAACGCAACATTTTTCAACTTTCTGCTAAGATATATGTGACTTTTTTGCAACGAGGATTATGAAATCATGCAAGCCCCGCATATTTTGCGCGGAAATCGGCAATTTATGCGGCGAAAGTGCGGCGTATTTGAAAAAATGCGGCCCCCGCATTAATATGCGGACTTTGGCTGATTATGCACTAAATAATGCGATCGCATAATCGCGTTTTTCTGGAGGGACTGAAAAACAAATAGATCATATTATAATCACTGACGCTGTCTACACTGACAACAGGAAAAATAGAAAGAGTAAATAGAAGAGTGAAGGAACGTTCACTGTGACGCGTCCTGTTTAAACAGCTGGTTTGCGTCTCTGTCCAGACTTCAGAAGGATCCCAGTGGATGATTTATTTTTAATGGCGTTTTAATGGATTATATGTTTGCTCAGAGAATTTGACTGCAGATTGTTTTGCAAACGAGACACAGTGTAATAAAGATTTCGCAAAGAAACTTTTGTTGACAGATGAAGCAGTCAGCTATATTGGATCTCACAACAGCTGCATCGCTTTGACGGTTTTACATGGATAAAGGTTTTAAAACACTTACTCGTGTGTAATAGCGAGTAGGCGTTGATACTGCTTCTCATGCGATGACGTTAGCCAATCATAACAGGGGCTGTTTATTGACGAGCCTTAAAGGAGCAGCCCCTTAAAAACAGATCATTTCAGACAGAGGGTCAGAATGAGGGTGGAATTTTTTTATTTTTTTTTATTAACATTATCAGTGAACCTCAAGGAATATATTAAAAATAATGTCATGACCCCTTTAGACCTTTTCCTTTACTACTATGTCTTTAACGTACAGCTGGGTGATATGACGATAGAGCGCATCACAGTTTATCAGTCATCAGTTCACGACTTTGAATATGGCTCATCTAATCAGATTCTGAACTGTCTGTCTATATATATACAGTAGTAGCCAAAAGTGATGTCCAGAGGGGATATTTATTTTTTATGACCCAACAAGTTCGATTAAACAATCAAAATATGAGGAAAATATTTTATATTTTTAAAATAATTTTAAATACCAAAGAAAAACAAAACACTAAACTTGGTCAAGGTATTTATCTGACAAAATTATTTGTCAAAAAAGGCAATCTACAGTATAGGTTTTATTTTACTATGCAAAAATAATGCATAAAAAACAACAAAAAAAAACAACTATGTCTGCACAATTTGTGATGTTTCATTGCGTTATCACAAATAAAACAACTATGCAATATGCTTAATTAGAATTAAGCCTATTAGAATGATTTCTGAAGGATCATGTGACACTGATGACTGGAAATATACATAAATTCATAGCTAATCATAAATATAATAATAACAATATGATATAACAACAGAGCCTGCTCTAATAACACTAATGTGATATATACCATATATTAAATTACTTGTAACAAGATTTAGGTCATACTGCCCACTCCGACAAATACATAATCCTTTTCAAGTAATGTGTTTAGTCCCTGTAAAATCTGATATTGCATAAAAGTGTCTGCTTATAAGCTAGATCATAATTGCATAACGAAGCAGCTGAAACAAAGCTTCAAAGCTGACAAACTACTAGCTCTGGCACTAAAAGGAGATTACATGTTTAACTGGGCTCTTTACCAGGTCGGCAGGAAGTGGGTCCAGATATTGACCGTCTCATTGGTCATTTGAAAACTGCTGAGAATGCAGTCGAGGGCTGAGCTGCTGGGATGGCGGTACCCAGACATGATGCCGTCCTCTCTAAACACCTGCAAAGATGCACACGGACGTCTAAAATACATGCAAACATCTAAATAATCATGAAAAAAGGCGTTCTTCTAAACATCATCTAAGGAAGTAAGACCGGAATTGGAAAACAGAATTGGTTCTTTCTTTTGGGAGACAATAACTGATCTTTGAAACTTTTCAGACCTTTACATTTAAAAAACGGTTATATTACACACTAACACTATACATGAAAGGTAGGGTCACTTTAATATTCTGAATGCAAGTCAGATTCATCTGATGTAATCTTACAGAAACAGTGCTGTGCTGAACTCAATTTCTTTAAGAAGGATTAAAGCAGAACTGAAAACGGTGGCTTGCACCACTTAGTCCCACTTATTCGGCTCGTAACTTTCAAGTACATGCAGGATTTCCCAGGGATTTCCCTTAAAGGGAGCGTTTGAAACAGTTCTGTTCTCCGAACTACAATATTAAACGGTTTCAAACGCTCCCGTTGTATGTCAAACAGATAGTCCTGTCCTCACCTTTGGCACCTGGTGGATGTCAAAGAGCTGTGGAAGTCTGAGGGTCAGCATGTCTGCGGGCAGGCGCAGTGCTCCCCTCCCTCTCTGACAGGCCTGCTTCAGTCTCTCCCGTCCTCCTCGACACAGGACACACCACAGCGGACACTCCAGGCTCCTGGACGGGCCCCCTTCCCTAGCCTCCCACCTCACACACTGAGTCCAGCCCCAACCATGACCCTCACCAGCCCCCCGCCACGCAGGAAACACTGCAGAGAGAGAGACAAACCCATTAGTTCACCCATATGCATTGAAAAGTAAGTTGGATTACTGCAGAAAACTCACTTGAATTAATAGATTTATTTCAGGCCCCAGATTTTACATTGTGCGTTTAGTACCACTTGATACCCAATGTCGTGAAACATATTAATATTAACAATATGCAAAACATAAGGAAGAATGAAAAAAGAAAACAAAGCATTATTAATATTAAAAATGGTTTAAAAACAGTTTTACAAAGGATAATATGCAATTTTAACACAAATAAAGATTCACAGATTTATCTAATGGATGGCACACTATCTACTGTTTTAAAATACGTAGTGTGCAGTACAAAGTACACTTCTGTTCAAAAGTTTAATACTTTTATTGAGAAAAAATGCATTTAATCAATCAAAAGTGACAATAAAAACTTTTTTATAATGTTATAATTTTTTTTTTTTTTTTTTTACATGGTTTCCACAAAAATTGTAAGCAGAAATTCAGTTTTGCCATCACAGGAATAAATTACATTTTAAAATATGTTCATATAGAAAACCTTTATTTTAAATTGTTATAATATTTCACAATATTACAGTATCAAATAAAATGCAACCTCAATGGTGAGCAATAAGAGCCTTCTTTCAAAAACATTGATAAAACTGTGTATGCGAGTATGAACTTTCTGTATGCAAAGAATACCCAGAATGACCTAAAATATTTGCAGTATATAACTATAGGACGCTGCTGGAATGCTGTATCCAAAGACTTTATATATAGAAAGACGGTGCACTCATATTACTATGAATGGGAGAATATGCGCAATATGGCGGAATAAGTCCCGCCTTCTAAATAAAAGAGCCAATCAGCATTTGGTAAAGTCTTCGCATCACTGCGGCTGCTCTAACAGTTCTTAGAAACAGTCAGTGTTCTGAGACACAAGGAAGAGGAAGTTATTTTGATACCAGATTACGAGGGCACATTCAAAAAAAATTTTGAGCGCAGATAAATCATTATTAATAAATGCTGCAATAATCCATAAATTAAACAAGTTGTCAATTTTGATTTCATGGTGACTTTAAAATACGTATCACTGCATACAGTTCCACATCTGCATCTCAGTATAGGGATATTTGCTTTGAATGGCTTAAAAGGGTGATATTGTTTCATTAGTGAACCATCATGTTGTCATATATGCAAATTAATATACACAAATATAAATAATAAAATTTGCCTATACTGTTCTCCACAATCTTTTAATAAATGAAAAATCAATTAAAATGCCACTATCCACAATAAATGAAAAATGAGACTAATCATTAGCATTTGTGAGTGTTGAATAAGATTTTGAACTATTCCTTGAAGCGAACAATTTCAATTAAATATTAAATAATAATAATAATCTTATGCAGTAAGTACACACTAATATTCCATTTTATATTACAGAGTGACTTGTGAAGTATAGTGCTTTAAAGCTTCAACACTCAAATCAATCCTAGATATCTTGTCTTCACACACCCCAGTATGGGCCTCCAGTTTGAGTATTTCAACCAATAGCTGGGAACATAACTTGGCACACTGGTGGTATTGCATGATACTGTTCCATGCAAACATTTTTGCACAACTTTTGAGCAATAAAACCATCTCCTTGGAAGCTGAAGTTCAACTCTTTAGCTCCAAGTACCTGCCTTTCTAAAGGGGTCCGTGCTTTGCTTTGCATAGGGGCCAATCTTGCAAACTAGAACAGAATGTGCTTTGTGAGGGTCACAGAGTTTCCTGTTGACACGTGGAGCCGTATGAAAATGAGCACGCTTTCTGCACACGGACAAACGGCAGCCTAAACAAAGCAGATGGAAATGCTTGAGCAATGCCTCTACATAGAAGCCTTCCTGCTAGCAGACACTCTGTGGATTTGACTAAATGGATTGTTATTAAGGTTGGGTGACATGGCTATTTTCCCCCCAGCTATTTATGATTCAATTATTTCTCAGTATAGGGATATTTGCTTTGAATGGCTTAAAAGGGTGATATTGTTTCATTAGTGAACCATCATGTTGTCATATATGCAAATTAATATACACAAATATAAATAATAAAATTTGCCTATACTGTTCTCCACAATCTTTTAATAAATGAAAAATCAATTAAAATGCCACTATCCACAATAAATGAAAAATGAGACTATTCATTAGCATTTGTGAGTGTTGAATAAGATTTTGAACTATTCCTTGAAGCGAACAATTTCAATTTCAATGACTCGAAATCAATCAAACTAATATTGATACTGTTTAAGTGGCCTAATAATCACAAAACAAATCTAAATTTAAAGCATTAAAAAGCACAAAATAGTATAATATTACATTACTGTAATAAAATCAGCATTTTGTCACAATCAGTGTTATTTTATCATATTTTATATACTATTTTATTATTTAATATTTAATTAATAATATTTGGATTGATTTATTTAAATTTAAGTTTGAGTAATTGTGTATATTTCTGTGTATAATATATTTCTATTTAGATTTAATTTATTTTTATTTCCGTTTTAGTCAAGTTAAACATTTTTCATTTCTCATGTTTTTTAAAAAGTTTTTCCATCTTATGTTTATATTTAATTTTCTTTCAACAAAATGATGATCAACAAAAATGATGTGTAATAGTACCAACACCGGTCCAGTATGCCTTCACATTATGGAAAAGAGCAGCATGAACATTCGCCTAAACATTTCCTTTTGCACTTTACAGATAAACGAATGTCATATGGCTTTAGAGTTTCATGCGGGAGATTGAACAATAACAATCTTCATTTTTAGATGAACTACTCCTGTCAGACAAACGGATTTGCGTAAACTGATACAAAGGCTAAATTCCTCCCGGTCAGATCGTGCAGGGCTGGACATCCATTCATGGAATATGCTGTCATTATTCCATGGGCCAGTGTTGATCTTGTGGATTAACGGATTGTGGAATGTCTCATCAGCTGTTTCTATGGAAGTCAAACATAAACATAATTCATCTGACACTGGATATGAACTTCTCCCCAATAATGCCCTCTGGGAAACGTGTTATTCAGAAACAAACAGCTCGCAAACATTTCTCATCCCAGTTGCCACTGCTCAGTTTGACTGGATGTTTGTTTGTTTTTTTGCGTACAACATGTCTTGTTGATAGGTGGAGATGTTTAGATTAGACTCGGACTAACTACATTCCATGACACACCACTTTGAGTCAAAACAAGAATGAGCTCATCTGAAGCTGATGTGTGTGTGTGAGTGTGTGTGTGTGTGTCCACCAACTGTGACCAACGAAAGAGAGAACCGTATTGTCGCAATTCATATTGACCGTTTTCTGATAAAAATGGGATATTCAAAGAATGGGTGTTTTATCCATCAGGAACTGATTGTGAAAAGCAACATTACGTACACGAATGAAGCCAGATGGTTGGAAGAGGGCTCAGTGGTGTAAGCAAAAAAAAAGAAGTATTTTATCCAAGCCCTTATGGTTCCAGAAGTTTTAGCGAATGCATAAATTAGCATAATATAGAGACACCTAGAGGTGAATGGATGTCACTGTACTTGCCTGAGTAGTTGGTGTAAAGTGGGACCCATAATACTCAAGACATGTTTTACACAGTTTTCACTAAATGAACACAAGGAAGAATGATATTTAGTCATTTCCAATGATATGCACTAATATGCATAAAAATTGGGGTCGGATAGATAACAAAAACAAAACAAAAAACAGTCTATTATGCTTAAAAAGGCTGCGTTTATTTGATCAAAATAGAGTAAAAACAGTGAAATTGTGTAAACTATTGTCTATTCTAGTATATTTTAAAATGTAATTTATTCCTCTGATTAAAGCTGAATTTTCAGCATCATTACTCCAGTACAAAAATGTTTTGTAATATTTTAGCCAGAAATTAACTGTAACTCATAATCCGAAATGGTGTATTAAATACAATAAAAAATATGGGGTGAGACTTACAAAACAAGAAGGCTAAGTAACGTCAGCCAATAAGCAAAGTCATTGTGCAAGTTATTTTGATGGAATTTGACATTTTTACCACTTGGACAAACACTTTTTCTATTTGGAATAACATGCACTGATGAACTGTTCATAATACGAACAGGAATGTACATTAAAAAGGTAAATAAGGTCAATTTTTATTTCACATTGGCTCACGAACTACTGCATAATCCAATCCAGAACATATCAGACCAAGACAAATGCTTCAAGACCTTGATTTCTGGGTCCTTGTGTGTTTCTCGCTCCACATCTCACCATACAGCTATTCTGACATTCTTTCTCTGGCTCGTGATTGTGTCACAAGATCTGCCTCAATGGACGTCTTTATCAGTGCGTGTTGACAATAGAGCGCCTATGTGCGTGTTCTGTTCGGCTCACGTGTAACTGCAGTAACCGTACGGACACTATCTCAGGCTCTGAGCATTCCATTGTCATGTTAATACATGAAGTTGTTGTCTGGCTACCACCTCCAGACACAAGACAAATAATCATGCAAATGCCTATACTGGGAGAACAGAAATTTTCCACCAAGTTTGAATGACTTTTCATAGGTTTTAAAAGCTGTTGCGAATTTTTATTGGCCAATTAAAAAAAATATTTTCATAGAAAACATTTTTGTTAGCACACCCAAAACCTGTTTTGGAAGGAAACATTTAAATTTTGCCTGAGGCTTTTTCCTGGAAACGAAAGCTTTTAATGCACACTGGACCCAAACTGCACCTGACTACGTTCCATCTCTAGAATGTACACTTAATCGACAATGGCTTAAACAATATCACATGCTTTGCGGGCTATATTTCAGACTTTGGAGGGAATGAAAGTGAAAAAAAAGTTCCTCCCGTCCTGAAAAATGCTGACTGTAGTTTGTGTAGGCTAAATCATCCTGAATGCACAGGAACAGTGAGAAGAAAAGGAACATAAAAGTGAGCTTTTCATGGGTCATAGCCAGGGTTCCCAAAAAGAAGCAGAATATGAACAC